TCGGGCGCAAAGGTCTCGAAGGGCCTACGATAGCCGTGGGTTCACGAGCGTCGGTCGGTAACCTTGTTCGGACTCGCGTGGTAAAAGTATACCCACAAGTTGCAAAGCTTGAGTCGATACCAAGCTCAATTCGCATGCGGAAAATAGGAGGGTTGAAACAACGACGGTTGACATGAAGGTGAGAGTGGAACCATGGCTGCAGATCAATGCCCTGGTGAAACACCCTTGCCAGGCCCGTGTTCCTGCATAAGTTTGACCAACAAGCGAGCCGATGGGAAGGCACGATGGACGGCAGTGGACGAGGAAACGGGGCCATGGGCTTTTTGCCTCTTTCCAATGGCAAACGGATATTACATGGCAATAAATGTGGGTATGTTTACTGTAGGTTCCCAATGTAAGCAAATGGTGCTGATAAAGATAGACATGAGCATGGCGACGAGATAAGGATGCGCGCGTTGATCAGGGTCAAGGGTGGCGCAAACGGCCGGAGCGACGTCCGGTCGAGGTGCAATCAAAGAGTGCGAGCTGTGGATGTAAAAGTGGACGCGTGGTGCAGACACAAGACAGACATTGATGCAGCGGCGGATGCAGGTGGGAGCAAGCCCGAGAGAGCGTGGCTGTGCAGGTTGGCAATTGGCAAGAGAGATGAGAGAATGATGGCGAGCGATAGAGAAAGTGGAGAGTGCCATGGGCCACTTTCGGTGCGGCAGCAGTTGCATTACATAAGTACATGCTACCACACGTATGCGACGTCTGAGGTACTCGACTGCGACGTTTCTTTCTTCCACGTTCTATCACTAACATCAGAGCATCGTCACACCACTACCACCACACTGTCCTGGACCAGCTCTCCGCCATCTCCGACCGTGTGCCCCCCGAGGGAGGCGTACATTGGCGCCAGGCGGCTCCCACGCAATACAACTCGCCGTGGACCGGGCGCACGACGTCTTGGCCGTATTCGGCCAAGTCAGGGGCAATTGTTGGCGACGCCGTGTTTCGATGCCGCCCGGGGCCCTTTGGATCCCCACCGACTCATCTGCTTCACCCAATCACTCGCACATGGCTACTGACGCTGCCCCGAATACGATTAACCCCCGCCAAGCGCAGTCGCTTGCGGGCCAAATAGGCACCTCTCAGCATGGGCGTGCGCCGACTCGAGCATGGACTGGGAATAGCATGTTTCGATATATCTTACTGCTGACCTCTCGCCCCTGCTCCATTTGCGCCGCAACTCTGATTCCTCGTTTGTCTTCGACGTCGAGGTTTCTGACCGAACGCAAGACATTTCTTTTACAGACCTCTGGACTTGATCCAACGGTCGTTACGCTCTTTAGCCTTGCTTTTTTCTAATTCCTTCTTGCTTCTCCAGCTCTACGACAAGACCGTTGGCTGCCCCTGGCCATTCTATTCTTCAATCCGAGCCGCAAAAGCACCACGGCCTTCCATCATGGCCAACTTCAGCAAGCCCGCGGGTCTTTTGACTGTGCTCTTCACCCTCTTCGCCCTCATTCAATTCACCGCTGCCTTCCAGCATGGCTCCTCTCATCATCAGCATCTCGCTCGTGACGACGCCGAAATCCTGGCCCGCATCGACAAGCTTAGTCAGGAGGTTCAAAAGCGCCAGTCTCAAGCCTACATAGTCATCACCGGTGTATGCAGTACCGGTTGGAATAACGAGGCCAAGTGCAATCCCGGTAGCCAAGCCGCTCCTCGTTTGGAGGTACGCGAAATGGCGCGCAACAGCGATCAATTCAACTTGTTCCTGCTCGGCATGGAGAGGTTCCAGGCCAAGGACAAGAATGACCCTTTGTCGTATTACAAAGTTGCCAGTGTTCACGGCCGTCCTTTCGTAACCTACAACAACTTCCCTACACCTCTCTTGAACCAGGCCGGTTTCTGCCCTCACGCCGCCACTATTTTCGCTCCATGGCATAGGCCCTTTGTTGCTCTCTTCGAGGTACGTTTATCGAGAGAATTGTAATCACCTATGCTAACCATCTCCCAGCAAGCCTTGTACCTTTGCGTACTTGAAGTCATTGCCGAGTTCCCTTCCAATCAGCAGCAGCATTTGAGGGAGGTCGCCTCTACATTGCGTCTTCCATACTGGGATTGGGCCTCCACTCGCAACGACCGCTCCGTCGCTAGCATGCTTACGGATCAATTCGTTGGCGTCACCAAGGCCCAAGGACCTGTTCGAATTGTCAATCCGCTTTACAAGTACAACATGGGTACCTATCCAACCGAACTGGGCCCTGGACCATGGAACAGTTTCCCCGAGACTCTTCGTCGCCCGCTCGGCAACCCCACTCGCAGTAACAACAACGAAATGGTGGCTCGCTTCGAGTCTGCGCGCACTTCTATGGCCAACCGTGTCTTTGACTTGTTCGCCAGCAAAGCTTCTTGGGGCGATGTCACTTCTGCAGGTATCGGTGTGCGCACTCAATCGAGCGGTGGTGGCGTGGACAGTTTCGAGTCTCTGCACGATCTTGTTCACAATATCGCTGGTGGTGAATCTGGTGGTACCATGTATTACCTTGATCGCTCTGCTTTCGACCCCATGTTTTGGCTGCATCATTGCAACATTGATCGATTGGTTGACATGTATCACTACGTTTCTCCCAATACCTGGATGTCTCCCGGCAACATCAGATTCCCCATGGCGCAATGGAACCAGGGTGAACCCAAGAACCAATACACTCCTTTGAAGCCCTGGACCAAGGATACCCGCGGCACTTACTTTACTGCTATGGATCTCAAGGATACGCGTGTATTCAACTACTACTACCCCGAGACCAGCGACCGTTCCGCCCAGCAAGTAATCCAAGCTGTCAACAGGCTATACGGTTCAAACGGTAGGTCCCTTAGCAAGCGTGATGGTGCTGCTGCTTTCGGCCCTACTGGTCAATATCTCGGACGCGACATTGTGGAGGGTGACTACCACACTGTCCTTTCTATTATCGCTGACAAGTACGCGATGACTGGATCCTACACCATCCATTGCTTCGTCGGAAAGCCCGAAAGCAACTCCACTGCACCTTATCCTCTTGCGAACTCTACTTCGCCCCGCCCGGTTGGAAGCTCTACTGCATCTGCCACTTCGCCTCTCAGCACTGGAACAGCTCCTTACAGCAACAACACTGACGCCGACTACGACCCGTCTACCGATTTCACTCAATGGTCTAGCTATGTTGGTTCTTTTGGTGTCCTCGGTGCGTCAATGAAGGGTGGTGCCAACTCTTCCCAACCCGTCATGATTGAGGGTTCCCTTCCTTTGACCACGTGCCTTCAAGGCAAGGAAGCCAAGGGTGAACTTGAATCTCTACGTCCCGAGCACGTTGGACCTTACCTAAAGGAAAACCTTTACTACAAGGTCGTTGGTCTAGATGGCGAAATTGACCCGGACACCATCCCCAACTTCCACGTCAGCGTCAGGTCCAACCCAGCCAAGCCCGCAGCCTCCCCAGATGAGCTCCCCGATTTGAGTGCACCTGCCGAGACTCTCCATGAAGCTACTGCACACCTACCCGCTGGAAAGCCATTTACGTACATCCCCAGCGCCATCGACATCCCGCTGCCCGATACATCGGAATACATGCAGCCTAGCAGCGATGGCACACACCCCAAGAGCCCCAGCAACGGTGTCTTCCCTTACCCATCTATGCCTTGGGAGGAGAATGGCTACTGTGTCAGTGAACAAACGATTGAGTATGTTGACCCGCAAGGCAACTTCCTCTACTCTTCCATGTAAGGTAGTTCCTGCCCAAGTGGGAAATGATGGGATAGAAGGGGAAGATGAGTTGTGCTTGTGTGTACGAAGGATCCTTTTACATAATACCTTTTCGCAATGTATATTTGATACGAGAATTTTGTTTCCTTTTTTACACAGTGTCATTGGTATATCCCAAGGTTTAAGCAGGAATGTCAGCATCTCTTAGCGTCGCAATTGTATCTCATTTTGCAATCCTTGGGAGTATGAGTCGCGTGGATTGACAAGCCTGCACTTTGGGTGAGTAGGCTTCGCAAGTTGTTTCAGTTGATGCTAGTAGTTACACCTATGTCTATGGAGTATCTAGGTGATGTCCTTGGTCGAACTTACGTAGTGCCTAAATATAAGCACCAGTCTGCCAACTCTAATGTCGTTCAATATATTGATTCCGTGACGAGTCAACTCAAGGAACCTTGTGTGATGTTTGATAAGAAACGTGACTTCAGTAGCACCTGAACACGAAATACTCAACACCCTCGTGTGCACAAGCTACTATAGGTATATCATGAATAGAACATCGGGGTTTACCGATACTTTCGCTGTCAAGTATTTTACGTCACCTACGCGATAGCATGTCCAGAGACTACAGCTTCACAAATCACAGTCACAGGGCAACTAAGGGGCCCAGGACGCAAGTGAGGGAAGATGACTGTGATTGGTCGTCCTTAGCGATGCGCTAGAAGCACGTCTGGCAGGCGGGCAGCGCGAGCACCACATCACGGCAGTATCTCTCATCCTGCTTGACGATCTCTAGGCCTCAGGTACCACGCGGTAAGTCATACACCATCTTGTTCGCAACATTGAACCATGTGGAGCACGTCTACACCCCACTGCGCTAGCATGTCGTGGTCCCTGGCGTTATTGCCATCTCACTCTGAGATTAGCGCAAGCATTTCACTCGACCCCATCATGTAGCTTGACATTTACACTTTTACGATGCTAATCGCGTATCAGGACAACTCAAACTCTATCGCCCACGTCCGTCCGCCCGCGATGCCTGCAATGCTAGATGATCCGAGTGCGCCTGTCGTATACAGAACGTCGGGCGACGTGCCGTATCCCCCGCCTGGTGGCCCGCTACCTGTGGGCATTGCCCCGGGTCAAGTGATCCTGCGCGACCGTGTCACTACCGCGACCATTATACCCTTTTCTGCGCCGAATCAAGTACCTCTCACACTGTTGGCATATCTATGCGACCAATTAGGCCGCGAGATTGAAAAGGGCGACACGTACCCTATGGTTGAGCCGCTTTCTCTCGACGACTTTGGTCCATACTGGTTCGGCGTCTTTGGCGCTATCATGCTGATCGGCGAAATACAAGATGGGAGAGCACTGCACGAGATGGCGCGCCAAGGTTGCGACTGGGAAAGGGAGTGCTTAGGGAGTTTCTACATCAAGCCCAACTATCCAGGACGGTCGAGCCATGTCTGCAACGGCGGGTTTCTAGTCACGGATGCATCGCGTAATCGGGGCGTTGGTCGCTTGATGGGCGAGACATATCTGGACTGGGCTCCTAAGCTGGTGAGATTCATAACTCGGGCTATACAGAACTTGGCTGACATGTCTAGGGCTACACCTACTCCGTCTTTAACCTCGTATACGAAACCAATGTCGCTTCCTGTCGTATATGGGATGCTCTCGGCTTCAAGCGCATCGGTCGTGTCAAAGGCTGCGGTAACCTCAAGTCGTATCCTGGTGAACTGGTTGATGCCATTATATATGGGCGTGACTTGGGTCAAGATGACGAATTCGTGTCAGAGGAACGCTTTGACAAGATCCGCTTCTATTTAAAGAACGGTAAATACCCAAATGGTGCCGATAGAGCGGAGAAAAGCCGTCTCCGTAGTGCGGCGACGCACTACAAGCTCACACCTGGCAAAGACGACGAGCCTGACAGATTGTGGCTCAAAGGCAAAGAAGTCATTCCGGACCCCAAGCAGCAATACGAGCTTGCGCGGGAGATACATCACAAACACCATGGTGGTATTAATAAGACAACTGCAGCCATTGCGGAGATATATCATTGGGTTCGCATAAAGGAGACAGTCAGTCAGGTCATTCGTAACTGTCCTGTATGCAGTGAGATGAACAAGGGCCTTTCTGCCATGCGACAGGGACAAAACCAGGCGCGAGCAGAAGGACGATCGAGCTCAAGCTTCTTACATTCTACCAACACTCAACCCCCACTAACTCCCACCCCGCCGAGCCTCTTTTCACCATCTCAGCCTCCACGTCGCTCCGACTCGCCGAGTTCCCAGCTCCAACTTGAAGCCTCACAGCACCAGGGTTCCTTTGGACGGTTTTCACAACACAACCAGTACGATATGCCGGTCGATCCCGCGCTCATGGAGGATGTACAAACTGTGAACAGTCTTGCAGATCTTCCGCCTTCGCCGTTCCTCGCTGCTCAAAGTGCGAACAGTTTGCCGCAGTTAGGCCATCTCGAGCAGCATGTTGATCCAAGCTTGAATGAGCGGGCGCCCACTGCTGCCGAGGAAATGCGGAGAAGGTTGAACCGGGCTAATCAGTACAACTAAATGATGACGTATGGCTACATGGGTTTGATGTATCAGGATGGTAAAATCATTTTTCTTACAGCGATGGCGTTTTAGGAAAGGGAGTATACGAACACGATGTTGGCATGCATGTGAAAAATGAATAACAGCGTGGACTATACCCAAGACATAATAATGACTGGTACGAATCATGAGGAACTTGTAGTTGGAAACAAGATCTAGTCACATATGAGTGATAGATTTGAGCTACTTGCAAGAAAGTGAGGAAGAGATTCGGGTCTATGAACACGCCTCTAGTAGTAGCATGTATATGTTACTGTTACGAGACATTCATGTTGGTTATTGCTATCCAAGTCTTGACACATACTCATCCCTCTAATTCTCAAATTTACATCTTCCCTTGCCCTGATCCACTTCAGTCCCTCACAATCCCCATCATCCCTCAAACAAGCCCCACTCCTTGACCTCAAACGTCTCCAAGACCTTCTCCCTGACCAGCTTACTACTCCTCATCAGCTCCGTCTCTTGCTGTCCCATAGCAGGCTTCTCGTATTCACCGGGATAATGGGGCACATTGATGGTAATCAAGATATCTGTCTCCTGCTCTTTGAGACGAAGAAGAAGGAGGTGGATAAATGTGTATTCCGGGGTTTTGCGGTTAGGATGGGGGTTGATTGATGGAGGAGTTTGCACAAAAGAGAGGGTTAAGAGGGGGGTTGATCTGTAGGGAGGATATTAGCGATCTTCTTTAGTAATCGTGGTACAGTTTCCACGAAAACAGTACTTTTCCCACCCCCGATAGAAGACACACAAGTGAGGAAACAAAGTAACATACGGCAAACTCTTCATGCTCGCACCAACTTGCTCAACCACCGTCGTTGCATCATCCGTTCCATCTACCAAATCGGCAAAATGGTACTGCAACGCCTCTTCATCACTGGATTTGTCCACGTATTCCAGGATCTCAACTACTATAGATGAGTATCCGCTGTTGTCGAGGTAGACTTCTTGGTTATCGGGGATTTGGCGGATTTGTCTGCATCGAGTTTAGTATGGGATAGCTTGAAGGAGCGCAAGGGGTAATTTCGGATATGGCGAGGGATCATGCTTGCGTAGATGTTGCCAAGGGAAAAAGGTACCGGGATGTGGGGGGGAAATTGGTTATGGGAAAACTTACGATGCGTCGGCAAAGCTGGAGGGGAGGTCGACAGTTATAGCGCCGCCGTAGAGGGGGGTATTTGTGAATTCCATGGTTGTTGTCGGGGGTGTTTGGGATGTGTAGGATGTTTCGGATGTCGTGCTGGAGTGTGGGTTCTTATGTTGTGGATTTGGCGTTGGTTGTGGTGAGGGTTGTGTTAGGTAGCTACAGGCAGCTTCAGGCACCACTGATATGGGTACCTAGCCCAGGTAGCACAACGCAGGATAAATGTTTTTGATATGATTTTGGTATAGTGAATGTTTACATATATCGTCATGACTTGCGTACATGGCATATGATTTTTTTTACTTCACATGCGACACGGTGGATGCGCACGACGCGCTGGAGGATCATGTATATAGCATCTTCTTCAGCTGTCAAAAACGATAGTATTTCAATTCCAGCGTGGGGTATCATCTGAACATTCGGCGTCTCTATATGCCCCAGTTTCCATTTTGAACGCCATGCAATGCAATGCTTTTGTCCCAAGTCCGCGACACGTTGCTGGCTGCTCAATAGCGTATCATGTCTTCCTTCTCTCCAGCCTGTGTGTGGACATCAAGGCGCTCAGACAGTCGCGTCCACAGTCTAATATAGTCGTGCTGCAGAGTTTACGCGCAATCATCCAGTCGTCGCAACCTGGTCGACTTCCATTGGGGCTGCGGGCAACGTTGTGCGCTTTCCGTTGTTGGTGGTGAAGCCCATGCCGGCCTCTGCTTCTTTGATGGAATAGGGTTCTTCGCGAAGTTGCTTCACTCTGAAATTTCGTCAGTCACCTTCCTGGCAGTCGTAGAGCAATACCCTCACCTCCGCTTGTGCACCTTGCCCTTTTGGTGGGCGACAAAATTGCCATCGCTCTCGAAAAACTTTGCGCATTCTTTGCAGTAATACTGGCCCAAACCAGGCAAGTCTTCTATGGGCTTTGCATCCTTGAACTGGGCCAAGTGCTTCTCGTCGCGCAAGTCAGCGTGAATCTGGTCGAGGTCGCGCGTATGACGACGCGTCTTCTTCTTGGAGTCCTGTCCACGTATAGCTGGCATGATGGGCTGGCTGGATCCGCGGCCGTCGGTTATCCGTGTCAAGTCTTGAAATATCGGCTATAGAGAAAGTTCCTTGGGCTGTGTGGAGACGGATTGCCGACCATGGCCCGTGTGCGTGTCTGCAGGTCAGAAAGTCTTTTGGGGCTAGGCCCAAAGCGAGTCTGGTACATGCAACACTGCTCCAGAGCCACCGGTCTGCAGGCCTGTCTGGCTGACGCCGGCGCGGGCTGCTGCGACGGAAATGCCGCACACACGCACATGCACACGCACACGGAGCTGGAAGAATTGACTTTGCAAGCTTGATGCTGCTGCTGCTGCTGCTGCTGCTGCTGCTGCTGCTGCTGCAAGACATGTGTAATGCTACTGTGCTTATCAAAACGCCAATCAGTTGCACAGGCTCAAGGAGCGGGCGGGGTCGGTGGTGAACGGGTGCGGGATATGACGTCTGCATGAACTCAACCCTCCCCCTCTACGTACCAACATTGAAGCTCCAAAGCACAATCACAAGCCCAGACACACACCGGATAACCGCCGGATAACCATCTTTCCCCATAATTCCATGCCAATTACGCCGCCACCACGGCCAACACGTGAAACTTCGGGCCCACGGAAAGGCGCTGCCGTCCTGTTTTGCGCTGGCGCCGAGGTATTCCGCACCAAGCTGGGGCTAGACGAACCAATCACCACATTCCAGTTCGCCATTAGTTATCGCCCAACTCGTGGCAGCTTCTGACCTTCTTTTCCTCCACTTCCTCCATCCCTCCTCTCTCCACTCCATCCTCACCAAACTTCACCATGCAGAAGTTCTCTAGGCTTGGCCGCTTGGGCCAGAGCCTTGCTTCGCGCAGGCAATTGGCTACTGTCAGCGATGCTGCTCTCTCCCGCAAGGTCGAAATGACAAACTGGGAGAAAGGCCACTACATCAACTACAAGCAGATGAACGACAACCTCAACATTGTCCGCTCGCGATTGAACCGCCCCCTCACTTTTGCCGAGAAGATTCTCTACTCCCACTTGGACGACCCCCACGGTCAAGAGATTGAGCGCGGCTCCAGCTACCTCAAGCTCCGTCCCGACCGTGTAGCTTGCCAGGATGCCACTGCTCAAATGGCTATTCTCCAATTCATGTCAGCTGGTCTGCCTTCGGTTGCTACTCCCACTACCGTCCACTGCGACCATCTCATCGAGGCTCAGGTCGGTGGTGAGAAGGATTTGGCCCGCGCCAACGAGATCAACAAAGAGGTCTACAACTTCTTGTCGACTTCTTGCGCAAAGTACAACATTGGTTTCTGGAAGCCCGGCTCTGGTATCATTCACCAGATTGTGCTTGAGAATTACGCTTTCCCTGGTGCTCTCCTCATCGGTACTGACTCGCACACTCCCAACGCTGGTGGTCTCGGTATGGCTGCTATTGGTGTCGGTGGTGCTGATGCCGTCGATGTCATGGCTGGTCTCCCCTGGGAGCTCAAGGCTCCCAAGGTTATTGGTGTTAAGCTGACCGGAAAGCTGTCCGGCTGGACTGCTCCCAAGGGTATGTATCCAAATAGCCCACACACAACAAAAATATGCTAACATGGCGCACAGACATCATTCTCAAGGTCGCCGGTATCCTCACTGTTAAGGGTGGAACTGGTGCTATCGTCGAATACCACGGACCCGGTACCGAGAGCTTGTCCTGCACCGGCATGGCCACCATCTGCAACATGGGTGCTGAGATTGGTGCCACCACCTCAGTCTTCCCCTTCAACGACCGCATGTACGACTACCTCGCTGCGACCAAGCGTCGCGACATTGGTGATTTCTCCCGCGAATATGCTTCCCAGCTCCGCGAGGATGAGGGTGCCCAGTACGACGAGCTCATTGAGATCAACCTTGACGAGCTCGAGCCCCACATCAACGGTCCCTTCACCCCCGATCTGGCTACACCCATCAGCAAGTTTAAGGAGGCTGTCAAGGCCAACAACTGGCCTGAGGAGCTCAAGGTCGGTCTTATCGGCTCTTGCACAAACTCCTCATACGAGGACATGAGCCGTGCTGCCTCCATCGCTGAGGATGCCATGGCTCACGGTGTCAAGGCCAAGTCCCTTTTCACCGTCACCCCCGGTTCCGAACAGATCAGGGCTACCATTGCTCGTGATGGTCAGCTCAAGACCTTTGAGGAGTTTGGTGGCATGGTCCTCGCAAACGCTTGCGGGTAAGTCGTTATCTCTGAACCTATCTGATGGCTTGTACTAATCGAAACGTAGGCCTTGTATCGGTTCGTCTCCCATTTCATCAATTCTGAGTTTGGAGTCCTTTGCGATACTTTACATATTATATACATACTGTAAAGTGTCACGAAGGCCTCTCGGCTTCATTGTCACAACTTTTCCTGCTCACTGCTAACTGTGTGCAGGTAATTACTCCCTTTCATTCTCTTGATTGCTTTGTGTTCTCCTTCTCCCCTTATACCCCAAGGTTTGTATATGCAAGGTTTGTACTTGAAACACCGTCAGCATCTGAAGTAGCCATATTATCTATGGACTTGACTGGACACATCACTGGATCTACCACCTTCAACTCACCTGGACTCACCGCTGAATTCCCTGCTGCAACCACCACTTTCGGGCTCATATGGCGTAGCCTTGAACCTTGCACTCTTGAGGATTCAAGCAAGCCATCTCTCATCCTCCATGCTTCTTGCATCTGCATGAAGGGGATGAATGCCCCACATCATATGGACTCATCGCGCTATGTCATTGCGATGCGTCGCGTTTGGAGAGAGTTGAATCGCAAATGGCTCTTCAACAATCCCACGCATGCTCTCCCAGCGCCATCTTCTTCGTCTTAGGCATTTATGTCGCATTTCAAGCCAACTGCCAAGGGTGGTATCATCACCCCAGGTGTTTCTGTCGCTGTCACGCCATCTGAAACCAGTGATAGTCCAGTCACCTTGGATGATGGTCAAGACGAAAATGCACTAGCAACTGGGTCCACCACCAACCTCAACGATGCCCCGGATGCCATCATGCCATATGATGGCCGCTGCATGCCCATCGATCGGGACATCGTTGACGACTACGACACCCCAACGACAAGCTCTGCCATGGGTACCGATGATGGTACGTCGGACTCTACGGCCCCATACGGTACCCGCGACGCGCCCATTAATCTGGACGTTCATGACTATAACACACCAACGGCTGGCTACTCCTTCGGTTTCGATGGTGTGTCGGACTTCACGCTCATGGATGACCTCGCTTCTACCATGGCTTCTCCATTGACTTGTGGTGCTTCAGATGTTGATGGTGCACTTTCCTCTTCTCTTATCTCTCAATTAATTGCGTATTCGCGTTCACGTTTATCTATGTTTAGACTAGTAACTAATGATTAAACAGGGCAGTGGGATCGCAAAGATGTAAAGAAGGGTATGTATTGAATGTAGACTGCAACGGACATCTACTAACTAAATCCAGGCCAAGCCAACTCCATCATCTCGTCCTACAACCGTAACTTCACAGGACGTAACGACGCCAACCCCGCCACCCACTCCTTCGTCACTTCGCCTGACCTCGTCGTCGCTATGACCATCGCCGGAACCTTGAACTTCAACCCACTTACAGATGAGCTGACCGGAGCCGACGGCAAGAAGTTCAAGCTCAAGGAGCCCACCGGTGCCGGTCTTCCTGCCAACGGCTACGACCCCGGTCAAGACACCTACCAGGCTCCCCCCGAGGACCGTGCTTCCGTCTCCGTCGCTGTCTCCCCTACCTCGGACCGCCTCCAGCTTCTGTCTCCTTTCTCCGCCTGGGACGGTAAAGATGCAAAGAACCTCCCCATCCTTATCAAGTGCCAGGGAAAGACTACCACTGACCACATCTCCATGGCCGGTCCCTGGTTGAAGTACCGTGGACACTTGGACAACATTTCCAACAACATGTTGATTGGTGCTATCAACGCTGAGAACGGCGAGGCCAACAAGGTCAAGAACGCTCTCAACGGTGAATACGGTGCCGTTCCCGACGTTGCCCGTGACTACAAGAAGAACGGCGTCCCGTGGGTTGTCATTGGTGACTGGAACTATGGCGAGGGTTCTTCCCGTGAGCACGCTGCGCTTGAGCCCAGGCACTTGGGTGGCGCTGCCATCATTACCCGTTCCTTCGCCCGTATCCATGAGACCAACTTGAAGAAGCAGGGTATGCTTCCTCTTACCTTCTCCGACCCGGCCGACTACGACAAGATTGGCCCCAACGACAGGGTTGACTTGGCTTCCACCGAGCTTGCTCCCGGAAAGCCCTTGACCATGACTGTTCACCCTGCCGATGGCAGCAAGGAATTCCAAATCAAGCTCTCGCACACCTTCAACGAGGGCCAAATTGAGTGGTTCAAGAACGGTAGCGCTCTTAACACCATGGCCAAGAACGCCAAGCAGTAAATGCTTAGGAGATTAGGGCGAACAAAAAGATTACAGTTGGGGATGTATATAGAGTACGACAGAATACCCCGCGTGAGTGGATCAGACGAATGAAGAAGGGCTGGACGCTTGTGGAAGATGTAGTAGTGGACCTCACGTAAAAGGTTCACCAGGCTCGATCTGATTGGGTTTGCTTGTATTATTGACGGTTAGCATGCAATGTATGAATGATTTCTCGTTAGACACTCGGTAAATGCGTTGATGGTACACATGGTATGCAGGGAATAAGGCCTGAACTGAAACATGCATGCCCCTGCAACATCAAATCTGTCATGACTACATCTCAATTGGATATATACATATTCTCGTCGTCTAGGCGTACATTAAAAGTTGATCTCATGTATACGCCAGGGCTGGATAAGTATGTCTAGAAGGATGAATCCGCCTGTGCTCGTGCATCATCGATACGTGGAGATGCACGTGACCTTTTAGTTACCGGGCCAACCAGCGAAAACAAATACGACCAGCCAGCGCGAACACCCTTTCGGGATCATCATTCCTAGAACCAATCGTGCACCTGAACCCCCAATTATCCATACATACTGCACGCCTGCATATCGCAAACATGGCACGTCTACGTAAACCGAGCCCAAACGAACCAACCATTTTTATGCCCCCCACAGAAGCGAGAGCGACGCGTGCAAGTCCCCGGAAAGCCACTCTACAATATGCATCATCACAAGACGATGAAAGCTTGGTGCTGGTTCCAAAGAGCTCGAGGCGCACAGCACGCGGTGACAGCTTTGCCGACGACACAGAGCAGTCGTTTCGCATGCCTAAGACAGCGACACCCAAAGATGCGCTTACTCCACGAAAGCAACGAGTATTGCGACCGGTAGAAAGTAACAGCCGCCTACTCAGGAAACTGAGTGACGAGAGCTTAGCGAGCCCGGAAAAGAAGAAGCGGGAGAGGAGAGTCCGAAGCGGGACAACAGATGTCGATGTGGAAAGGAGGGACAGGCTCATGTACGCGAAAAGCCTTGCCAAGAGTGTAGTCAACAAGCAGACACGCAAGCCTACAATTCAAGTTGTAGCAGAGGCAGAAGTACAAGTGGCTGCTGAACGGTCGCGGGGCCGGGGACAAGAGCCAAAGGAGCAGGCTGTCGAAGCTGAGGAAGACGAGGAAGTTGAGGAGGCTGAGACAAGTCTGTGGTGTGGCGATGAGGAAGCGGAAACTCAGCGAGAAGTTGCTGAGCCAGTCGCAGATAATAGCGATGATACAGAAGATGAAGACGCGATTGTGGATACCAGGAACCGACGGCGACAACCACGTGCCCGGCGCGTAGTGTCCGACAGCGAAGAGGAAGAGGGTGATATGAGCGACTTGCAAGCCGCTGCTCATCCTCGCAAACCATCGTTCAAGATTCCTGAGCTCAAACCAACAGCGCCGGTCCAAGAGCCAGCGAACCTAACGTCCATGCGCCCACCGCACAGAAAAGGCCACAGTACCATATCGAATTGGGCGCAGGAAGTCATTGACCTTTCGGATTCGCCAGAGGCACCAGCATCTTTCGTCCTTCCACAACCGACCCACGTCCGGTCAAGTTCTTTCGCAGCATCATCTCGCCCTACCAGCTCAGCATCCAATGCTCCCTTAGCCATACTTACATATTCGCCAACGCCTACCAAGAAACGCTCGCCACGCAAAGCACCGCCTGTTTCGAGACCAGGAACACCCCCACTGGCTCCCCCTGGCCCAACTAAACTTGTATCGCCTTCCAAAAAGAAGTCTGCCATTCCGAAAGCTGCTGACATAGACGGAAGACCCAGCCTGGATGCTTTCTGGAATCCTGCAGCTGTGAATGATTGGACCGACCGCCACTCACCGACCAAACCCATCGTCTCTCCAAAGAAGCAGAAATGGAGGGAGGATATCGTCAAGATGATGGAAGGTGTAGCCCTAGAAGACAGCAGCGATGAAGGATACGAAAGCCCTACAGTCAGCCCCAAGAAAAAGCCAACCAGTCGCGGTCCAGTCAAGAAGAAGGCACCTGAGATTACAGCAACGCCGAACATCAAGCAAATCCGCGAACAACGCAAAGCTTTCGCCGAGAGAAAACACGCCATAGCTGAGGCCTTCTTAGTCGAATTAGATAACAAAATTTCCGACGGTCGCATCCACGAACTTTCCAAACCTACAGGTGGCATCAAGCTAGTGTGGTCCAAAACTCTCAAAACAACAGCCGGTCGAGCAAATTGGCGTAGAGAGCAAATCCGCATTCGAACCGGCCCATTACCCACCGATACGCGTGTTGAAATCCGGCACCACTGCTCTATTGAACTCGCGGAAAAAGTAATCGACGACGAGGAACGCTTGTACAATGTCCTCGCGCACGAATTCTGTCATCTCACAACCTTTATGATTAGTGAAGTGCGCAACAATCCGCACGGCGCAGAGTTCAAATCGTGGGGCCGCAAGGCCACTGCCGCCTTCACAAATCAAGGCGTTGAAGTCACGACCAAGCACTCGTATCAAATCGAATACAAGTACGTCTGGGAATGCATTGCTTGCGGCTACGAGTTCAAGCGCCATTCGAAATCTGTGGATCCCGCACGCCATTCCTGCGGCAAGTGTAAGGGGAGACTTGCTCAGACGAAACCTACGCCGCGTGGTGTAGGCGCCGGTGCCGCTGTGGGCAAGGATGGAAAGAGGGAGAAGAGCGAGTACCAGGTTTTCGTCAAGGAGAACTTTGCAAGGGTGAAGAAGGACTTGGAGTTGGAGGGTAAGGATGCACAAATGGGGAAGGTGATGGAGGCGCTAGGCAAGGAGTATAGGGCGAGGAATGGGGTGAAAGGGACAGAGAAGGAGAAGGTTGTCATTGATTTGGAAGAGGCGTTGGGAGAGTTGAAGATTTAGATTTAGAGTTTGGTGTTACGAAGTAATGAGTATGAGTTTTTCGGGGAACATGCTTCACTATCATGATTGTGCAATTGAGATATTGATACTTTGCACGAGCTTGGAGGCGTTGCAGGATTAACAAGTTGTATAATACCAAACTCCTCTCCCACCTGCCATGTCCTTATCTTGCGGTCTAAATTGTCAAGGACATAAGGTAGGAAATCAGAACCGCCATTAATAATCAACAACGGAAGTTTCACTGACCCTGCAAGTGCATATGTGACTTCATGGGTAGCAAAGTGATATTGCTAGTATAAGACTCCATTCATGTATATGCAACTTTTCCAAAGCTCCAAGATTCCCGTGACCAAAACGACGATTTCGCTGTGTCTGATAACGTCCACACACCTACTGAGAGATGTAAGGTACATCGAGATATAGACGGTCCAAGGAAAGCCAGTACTATCTACGAAAGCTTTTCCACGCAACAAGAAGGCAGCCCTTATTGTTCGTATCCGCTTCCCCATATTGTCTGCACAGACTCGTTGAGTCTACGCTGGACCATCCAATGTACCAGATCCCTTGCTGCAATCGCATCCTCCATGCTGTCATGGCCCAAGTTGCCTTGCATCTGAATTTCCCTACCAAGGTATCGCTTGAGTAGCATCTTCAACGATAACTCTCCAGATCCCTTAGGCTTCTTCTTCTTCTTTGGCTCAACTTGCGACGCTGCAGTGGCGAATGGGGCAGCTTGGTTGTTGAGTGTTGAAGAGCTGACTCCCCATCCTCCTACACCCATGCCTTGTGGAAGAACCGCCACTCCTTGAAGCTGCTGCTGTGCGCTGAGCGCCGCCTCTCTCTCTGCTTCGGCAGCAGCAGCAGCAGCTTCGATAGCTTTCCTCGCTTGAACGATCTTGTTTTCCACCATATATGAATCAACAACCCGTGGATGAATCATACGCAGAGCTCTGAGGTCATTGTTGACACCATGACCAACAATGAAAGTTTCCGGCCCTACAAACCTCCATAGCGCCTCTCTAGCCCCGACTTTCCCTTTGAGGGAGTGCCCGACAAGTACAGCATGATTCAATTGATCGAATGTGACTCCAGAATACTGGGTGTTGAGGCTCTGCATTGGGAGATCGGGCTCGACGAGGTTGTTTACGAGCACTTCACCGGTGAAGTAATCAATAGCGCTAATACGGATAAGCTCTGAATCGCCGAGTTTTGCCGTTCCCATTTCGCAGTCAATGGCGACCGCGGCGCGGGGAGTGCGATTCTGTCCGGCATATACAGGTGGGGTCATGTGGAACTGATAAATGCGGTCGAGATCGCTCTGCTTATATTTGCGCAGCGTATGTCTCTGAGTGGTTACGCAATACTTGACAGATGCTGAGACATGGGAATTGCAGCAGTTGTAGCACTTGACATATCAGCCTATGAGTCTAATCCACGTGAAGAATTGCCCTACCTGACTGGCTTTGACGTAGTCTCCAGGATGATACATGCATGGCTTAGTGCAATCGACGTCCATGTAGCCCTCTTCCTGTGGGATACGTATAGTCGGTAGCCGATGGTAGGATCCTAGTGAATCATTCGGAGGGTGATTGGCGGCACGGAATGAGGTTGTCTTTTGTAGTGACTTCGTGAGGTATTGAACAGCTGTCATTATGTTAGAGGCGCCCAAATGTCACACGAAGATATGCCACAACGGAACTGACTATGCATACTCTGATTGCAATTCTTGCACCTGCGTTTCTGATTGAGGTCGATATCGGTGAGCTCTTGTAGAACATAGCCATTCTTTTCCATAATGTCCGCGGGTTCGAGAAAACTATAAAGTTCCGACATGTAGGCTGCATCTGGAGGGTAAGATACGGGGCAAGGCGCGAAACCTTGGTGAGGCCTTGGAACAGGCGGGTTTGGAATCCATTGACTACCGCTGCTGAAATTCATGGTATCGAAGCTAGTGATCAGGTCGCACCTTTGAAGATAGTTGAGAAAGAAGAGAGTAGGTGTGAACAGCTGAGAGACATCGAGTATCACATGCGTACTAGTAGGAAGAAAAGTGGGACTCTCTATCGACAATCGAACACACTATATCAATTAGGTTAGCAGGATCATGCAGGATTCTAATGTCTTCTCTCATCACATCTCAGTTTCACGTCCATCGTATCCGCCCCGTTGCCAACACGGCAGCATATTCAGATATATCTCATAGTAGCCAGGATGTATTCATTGGACTAGTGGATGACGGTCTCCTCCTTATTGACTCGTTAGTCATCAAGGGTCCTCAACCGGTCATCTATCTACTCTCATTATACCCTGTGTATCCGCCCAGCGTCCTCAATGACAAGCTATTTCCTGCCATCATACCTACGACTCACCGGCCTCCAAGGGCCAGGATGGGTAGCGAAGAACATGCCTCGCTTTGCAGCCTCCGGGGGACAATCAGGTGCGTAACCCGGGAAAGGGGGAAGCACACCGTCAACACCATTATGGGCAGTGTACTCCCAACCCTCTGCGTCAGGTCTACCACATTTGAAACAAATCTTTGTGGGTACACGGTTCCATCTGTGGCACTTGCATTTCCGATCGAGATCAAATTTGGCCTCCACGGGTGGGTGGTGCTCGATGCCCCGACCAGCAGTCTTTCGCTTGACAATATTCTCATCACTGCGGAAGAGTCCACACTTCTTCCTCTTATTGCTGCAGTTGTAGACGTACTTGTCGTTTCACCACCCACATTTGCATAGCCAATTGTCTACCCTGGTACCTGGGGGGTTGTTACGTCGGACTAGACGCTTTGCTTTGCGCACCTTCTCGGCCTCTTCATCTGCTTCCCGCTTTATCGCTGGATCTTGAGGTGGATAGAACTTCAATCCTGGTAAGCTGTACCTGGGGTCGGGAAGAGGGCATGCTTCGAGGGGCTCTTGCGCCTCTGTAGTGATGGAAAGGGTCGACAGGACGTTGTTCCGAGGGTTGCGAGCTTCTGTGTCAGAGTCAGTACATGTACTTTGTCGTATGAGCTAGTAGTATGAGCAGTGCATACTTGATTCAGTAGTGGTGGTGTCGAGCTTCTTTCCATCTTCGAGCTTCTTGCGCTTCTTGCGCTTCTTGCGCTTCTTGCCGTCACCGAGCTTCTTGCCGTCATCGAGCAGCTTGGTGTTGTCCAGCTTGGTGTTGTCCAGCTTGGTGTTGTCCAGCTTGGTGTTGTTTAGCTTGGTGTCGTCTAGCTTGCCGGTGTCCAGCTTGCCGGTGTCCAGCTTGCCGGTGTCCAGCTTGCCGGTGTCCAGCTTACCGTTGTCCAGCTTGTCATCGTCCAGCTTCTTGTTTTCGGCCTTTTCCTTGTCAAGCCGATCCCTGTCGAGCTTCTTCTTCTCCTCGTCTCGCTGCCATTGCCAATACTTCATCTTGTGCCCCAGAGCTGCCGAGCTTTCTTTCCCGCTCAGGTACATGCGGCAAAGGACTTCATAGTACGCAGCCGACACGGGATTAGCTTGGGCCTCATCGCACCAACCGCGCTCGGTATCTAGGAGCTCTTTTGTTTTGGCAGTAGTTAAGGTCTTTCCCTTCTCGAAGAGCTCATCAAGGTCGCCCATGATGAGGTGTTGCATGTCAGCAGTAGGTTGCTAAGAAAGATTGGTGGTGCGGGTAAGGTCGCTGTTGCGAGGTGGAAGAGACTTCTAGGCGTTTGTTGTGAGCTGACTCTCTTTCACTTGTTGGCTACAAGGCACAGCCTGTGTTTATCTCCGCTACAGCCATCATCTCAGAAACACAGCATGTACGTTAGTATAGATAGAATGCGTTAGAAAGACGCTTTTATGTGCGCGGTGATAAACACTAGTAACATATCGCTATCATTGTTTTGACGGTGATGTTGACCTCAAAATGGGTTGGGCGAATAGCTTCGTTCTGTTTGCTCCGTTTGCCACCTGCCTCTGCACTTCACACAGCATCCTAAATACTTGCCACATACTTTAGATTAGTTGCCTAATGTCTATCTAATGAATTACTACGTGTATATATTCTGAAGTATTCAAGAATTACCCATCAACACTTGACAATACAAACTGAAGGCTAGCCTAGCTAGGTGGGTCACGGAGACTAGTACATATACAAGCTTTGAAGAACCGTTCGAAACTCGGTGCACAAAGTTATAAAGCGTAAATGTGCCGACAGGCTCTCTCGCCCACCAACGACAGGTTTCCTTTTTTTTGCCTTTTTTCTTTTGCTCTCCGCAACTATCTATTACGCTTCGAGCATTAATTATATCGCTGTGAAAAATTTTGCTGCTGACATAAAGTTGAAGTGCACAGTGAATAAATAGGCTAGCTGTCGGATCGTGAGTATCGGTAGAGACGTCGGCTGCTGGACACTTCGGCCCGACTTCGGCCCACCTTGCGCAAGAGCTTAGGTATACCTTCGTAGCACCTATGTTCGTAGATATCAATTAGAACCACGAACAGAATGCATTCCTAGTTATCGTTATTTCCCTTTACGCACTTAGTGCAAAGCCAACCAACACTGATCAGTGATTGCTTGAGGCGATCACAGACAGCAAGGAAGAAGAGACAGACCGCATCTTTGACAGCCTCCCTAACGCACGACGTTATACTCCTGAGAGAAGATTCTGTGCTAAGAACAGAGCGAGGCAGAGATAACGCATAGCGATCAAAACCTCCCTCTAAGCTGCTAATCCAGGCCGAAGCTCGATTACAGCGCGTCAGCAACGCACAAAGACACACTGTTGAAATCCCGACGCGAGAAGTCTTGGGACGACTACAGCACGTCAGCAGCGCAGAGCGACAGACTATTGATATCCCGACGCGAGAAGTCTCGGGACGACTATAGTGCGTCAGCAACGCGTAGCGATTCCGTACGAGCGTCCCCGGACGATCCTATCACGTACAACCACAAGCGCTGGAACCGACCAACCAGCTAGACAAGACAAGGCAACGCGTCAATATACACCGGCACGATGGCAGGCAGCCAGGAGCAACTCTGGCGATACAGACGCTGATGTTCAAGAGCAACTACTCAACTATCCATCCGAACGCAATACAAGCAAGCGCGCAGAAACTATATCCCCAGGAGCGAAGTTTACTGCTGAACACCTTATGCGACACTGTCCATACACAGTCACGTTTGACTATATCAACCCATCTCTCTGGGGGTGTACCCGCACCAGAGGATGCAGACGAGACGCACGCAACAACCTGGGTCGCGAAGGCTATCCACGACTACCATGTAGGAATGGAATGGGATGAGAGACTATACTTCGACTACCAATGGGACTTTGAAGGATGGACACGAGAGCTATTCCAGAAGGTTGAGCGCACTACGCTAAGATCTCTGAAGACTGTGCTCCGGTATAGGGGAGTCTATACAGGCAAATTTCGGGCTAGAGTAGCTGATTCCCTCTTCAACTTACTAGGAGGAGAAAACGCTCCCGAATGGGACCCTGCAGAGTTCAAGGCCGAGAAGTTTGACGAACGTTCTGAGGCGTACCAGCGTCAGCAGAACGCACATCTAGCAGCCCCTATAGATAGACAAGCGCAGCAGCCACTGCAACAGACGCAGCCACTGGAACCGCTACAGCCGCAGCCACAACGTCCGTCACAGGGCGAGCAGTATAGAGTGAGACAAGGCGTTCGAAGCCACCCGCAATATCAAGAGCTACAACAACCGCCCTACGCGATCAATGCCTATGCAGGACCACAGCCTCGACAAACGGAGCAGGCTATGCAACCACAACAATGGTACCCGCAGACACAGACACGACCCCCAGCGACCGCATACCGCGAGGTGACACCTTTCCCTCAGCAACCTACAAACCGAGTACCTGACAGACCCCTTGGCCTACCACATGACCCGTACAAGACGCTACCGCCGCGATGGTCTCGCAACGATCGGCTCGAAGCCAATACGATCACGCAGTTCTCTAAGCTATGGGACAATAGCAACAAGTATACAGGGAATGCGTACGATCTCCTAGACGATAAGATTAAGATCTTCTTCAGCATCTGCTGGCAGGTAGATATCCAGGAGGAGCAGTTTCACGCAGTGTTTCCCCGTATCCTTACCGGGCGTGCAGAGACGTTCTACATACAGGTTGTAGAGAGAGATGATAGCTTTGCTGATGCGTACATGGCAATCAAAAACCACTTCGACCATGACGTCCATCACCAGCACTACTACACAGACTGGACGACTACAACCTTCGCTCGCACCCGCGCAGAGAACCCTGATAAGGGACTACACGAGGTTCTGCAGATCCTGCTTGACAAGCTGCAGCTATGCCAGCGTGCCCTTGGCAAGAACTTTGAGGGTGAGGATGCCCTCCGCACTACGGTCATCAATGCCTGCCGAGGAGTACCAGAACTTGAGATGGCACTGTTCAAGCCAGCCACAATCTGTGAAGGACTCTTCTCAGATCTACGATCCGCAGTGGAAACACACCTAGCACGGCAACACACCGCCCAGTTGGTCACAGAAGATCAATACTACCTAGACCGCCGATACAACGGCAATGGAAGGATCCGAGGTGGATCTCGAGGTGGAGGAGGATTCAGAGGCGGATCCAGAGGAGCATACCGAGGAGGCGAGCAGCGCGACGACAACGGACGAGGATTCAAGCCACGTTGGAGGAAGAAATGCTTTGTTTGCCGGAAGGAAGGATGCTGGTCTACCAACCACACAGATAAAGAGCGCAAAGATGCCCGTGCGCAGTTCTTCTCTACGCTATACTTTACAGGTGCACAGCCCCCTGAGGACTTCTCCGTACATCTTGCAGAATACGAAGGGATCGAGCACACCAGCCAGTACAATCAGAGAGGCTGGAGAGAGGAGGAAGACTGCGAGGATGACGAGGATGACGACGTCGCGGAAGCACATTCTGAACACCAGTTCTTCAAGGAGCAATGCCTTGCAGACCAGGCGTTCTTGCATCATATCTCGGGCGACGACATATACAGCCGAGACGCGCCGTCAGCACCAGCATCGCAGTTCCTGCTTGAGGACCGCTACACACGATCTGTGTACCAAGGAATCCTACCAGATACAGGCGCTGCAAACGTATCCACGGTCGGCAAGGAGCAATACCTCGCACTTACGAGAGAAGATCCGACGGTTAAGTTAGACACATCTACAGCAGGGAAAGCGTCTATTAAATTCGGAAAAGGCGAGGCTACAGCGTCGATTGGCACCGTGCAGGTCTCTACGGAGATCGGAAAAATCAACTTCGAAGTGCTCGAGGCGCCTACGCCGTTCTTGCTATGCCTTGCAGACATGGACCGCTTAAAGGTATACTTCAACAATACGACAGACGAGCTGGTTCAGGATGACGTACACATCCCGGTGATTCGCAAATGGGGACATCCTTGGTTCCATCTAAACAAGAGAGAGAGAGCAACTATGTTCCTAACGGAGACAGAATTGCGACGGCTCCATCGACGGTTTGGACACCCAGCTGTTACGCGACTAGTCAAACTCTTAAAGGATGCTGGCCATAACGACTTCGAAGAAAGAACCCTAGAAGAAGTCACTAAGTTCTGCCACCACTGCCAGCTCCACAGCTCCGCGCCGCGCCGATTCAAATTCACTCTTAAGGATGATCACCACTTCAACTATGAGATCCTGGTGGACGTAATGTACCTAAGCAACAAACCTGTACTGCATGTGGTCGATTCCTCAACAGCGTTTCAAGGCGCGAGGTTCCTCAGCGCTATCTCAGCTAAAGAAACATGGCAAGCACTGCGGATACTATGGATCGACACCTACCAGGGACCACCCGACATCATCACGCATGATGCAGGTACTAACTTCGCGAGCGCAGAGTTCCGCGCAGAAGCAAAGATCATGGGAGTCACATGCAAGCAAGTACCTACGGAGGCGCACTGGTCTATCGGCAAAACTGAGAGGTACCATGCCCCTCTACGCCGGGCATGGGACATACTCCATGCAGAACTCACTGACACTATGTCCGACGACGCGATTCTCCAGATGGCTGTGAAGGCTGTTAACGATACTGCTGGCCCTGATGGACTAGTCCCGACGTTACTAGTCTTTGGAGCGTACCCACGAATGACTGCAGAGTCACCGCCATCACCATCAATGGTCAAACGCAGCGAGGCTATTCAAAAGGCGACGAAAGCCCTGCGCAAGCTCACTGCAGAGCGCCAAGTTGCAGACGCCTTGAACACCCGCAATGGACCAGCCACTGCAGACATGCTCGCGCTCCCACTCCAGAGCGAAGTCTTAGTATGGAGAGAGAGTGATGGCTGGAATGGCCCGTACAAGATCGCCAGTACAGATGGCCACAACATCACTGTCGACATGGTTAATGGTCCAGCGACATTCAGATCAACTGTCGTTAAGCCATACTACAGACCAGACCACCTGTGGAGCGACCCTGATGCGCCACACGCGCCGAATGAGCCGAATGAGCCGCACGAGCCGATAGCAGTACCTCCGGCAGCGCAACCACGTAGAAGAGGCCGCCCTCCAGGGTCAAAGAACAAGCGGAAGGCGCACGCGTACATCACCAAGAAGGAGCAGGACGATCTTGAGCTAGCTATCAAGCTACGGAACGATGGCGTGATCACAACCTCAGGCGCCCCCTTTGAAGCGTCTGATGACCAAGAGATCAGCGACCTAGTAGGTCGTGGAGTCTTCAAGTTTGAGCAATACGACGAGAGGCTACACAGCAAGATCCGGATCTTTAAGTCACGCCTAGTACGTGAGGTCAAGGGAAAGACAACTAAGCCTTATGAGAAATCCCGTCTGGTTATCCAAGGCTACCAAGACTATGGCAAGGAGGCTATCTTAACGCAGTCGCCAACCATCCAGCGATGTAGCCAGCGCCTGATTATGTCGCTGGCGCCTGGGCTAGTACAAAGCGGCATGAGCGTTGAGCTACGTGATATTACGCAGGCATACCCACAGGCTCAGACAACACTGAAGAGGACGATACTCGCACACCTCCCTACCGAGCTGGTACATCGATATCCAGAAGGCACGATACTCCACGTGATCAAGCCACTATATGGGATCGCGGAGGCAGGAGTCCACTGGTGGACAACATATCACGGACACCACTGCAAGGAACTAGATATGTCAACATCTACGTACGACCCATGCCTGTTGATCACGAACAGCGACGACGCAGACGTCTTCGGCATCGTCGGTATGCAGACAGACGACACCCTCATGCTCGGAACGACCGCGTTCTTATCACGCGAAGAGAAAAAGATCCAGAAGGCGCAGTTTAGATCAAAACCAAAGGCTATGCTGACACCAGAGGTGCAGTTAGACTTTAATGGATGTACACTTACGATGGACGCCAGCAGAGTCTTAATCCTCAGGCAGAAAGGACAAGGAGGAAGGATCAGGCTTGTTGATATTAGGGCACCCGACCGCGCGCAACAGTACACCGAGCAACGCGCCCGCGGAGCGTACATCGCATCAACATGCCAACCAGAGGCATCATTTGATCTGTCCGTAGCTGCTCAAGCGCAGCAACCATCAGACGAGGACATTAAGGCACTCAACAAGCGCCTGAAATGGCAGATGGAGAATCTCACTCGTGGCCTACGCTACGTCACTGTCAACCTTACGGAGGCTAAGTTGATAGTCTTTGTAGACGGCTCCTTTGCCAACAACAAGGACCTCAGCTCACAGCTAGGCTTTGTCCTCATGCTCGTCAACGAGTCCATTGGCGCCAACACCTTCACAATACAAGGCAACGTGATCCACTACAGCTCTACAAAGTGCAAGCGCATCACACGGAGCGTACTGGCCTCAGAGATCTACGGCATGGTCAACGGCTTTGACATAGGCATCGCGGTTGCAACCACGCTAAGGATAGTTACAGAACGACTTGGACTACCTGCAATTCCCTTGGTTATCTGTACAGACTCGTACTCCTTGTACGAGTGCCTAGTAAAGCTTGGGACAACGAAGGAGAAGCGCCTCATGATCGATATTATGGCGCTGCGCCAATCATATGAGCGTCGCGAGATCACGGAGATCCGCTGGATCAATGGCGAAGACAATCCTGCAGACGCCTTCACGAAGGCATCGCCAAACCGCGCTCTTGAACGCTTTATTGACGGCAATAAGCTGACAGTCCGAGTAGATGGATGGGTGCAGAGGCCAACAAGCTTTGATGTTTAATGCTATACACTGTCACTACCGATACAAGCAGAGTTACTAGCTATCCAGAAAGAAAAGACTTCCAGTGTCGGATCGTGAGTATCGGTAGAGACGTCGGCTGCTGGACACTTCGGCCCGACTTCGGCCCACCTTGCGCAAGAGCTTAGGTATACCTTCGTAGCACCTATGTTCGTAGATATCAATTAGAACCACCGAACAGAATGCATTCCTAGTTATCGTTATTTCCCTTTACGCACTTAGTGCAAAGCCAACCAACACTAGCCTCTGCTAATTTAGATCTGCGGAGAGTTGGACATGGACCATCCAAAGGCCTGCGAAATTCACGTACCCTTTGGCCCCAGAGACTGCCCTCGCCGTGAAATGACTGTTTGCCGAGAGATGTCTCGCAACATCTCTAGAATAGACTTCTAGTATTGTTTTTTTTTGATAAAATTATGAGATAATACGCCGCATATGTTACAGGACATGCACGAAATAGTCATGGAGAGAGAAAGTAGTTGAGGTCGCTTGGTGGTGTTTGGGCGGATACACCTTCTTACACGCTTTAGGAAACAACTATCAACCAGGGACGCCCAGCTTGTAGGGCGTAAAATTTGGCGAAACCGATCCTTGCACCGCAATTAGATGTTTTCAACCATGTTTCCTTTCTTTTCTCTCTCAATCTGTTCCACACCTCTGTCTACACTTCTGCTCCACACTTCACACAAAGGTATTTGTTACTTTGGTATATCATAAGAATTTGCCTAGCTAGAGCCCTGCCTGCTACCCTACTCCATCCTGCCTCACTGCCTCAAGCCATGCATGACCGTAACCAATTTTTCTAGTGAGATGCGTGGCCACCCTGGGTGCCAAGCTCAGAAGCAAGCTCACTACCCTTTTTGAATGTACCATCGGGGTTGCGCTACACATACTGTCAGGGTCCTATCCGTTGATCTAGGTACCAAGTCCACTTACGCCGCTGTCACTACCGGAAGACTCTGTAGAAGCTGTGGAAGCGCCGTGGGAAGCATGACCGCCCTGGGCGCCTAGCTCAGAAGCAAGCTCACTGCCCTTCTTGAAGGTGCTGTCGGGGTTGCGGCCAGGCTCACTGCTATCGGTCGCTCCATGTGATGCGTGACCACCTTGGGCGCCTAGCTCCTTTGCGAGATCAGAGCCCTTGGTGAAGGTACCATCTGGGTTGCGATCAGGATGAGTGGACTGTAGTATGTGTTAGAGGCCAAGCTCCTGTCATTCATATTGGGGTAGATTTACCTCGGTGTTGCCTGAGCCATGGGAAGCGTGTCCGCCCTTTGCAGCAATCTCCTTGAGTTCGTCCTTGGGGAGGTTGGCGAAGTTGGCAGGGTTGGAAGAAGCCATTGTTGATGTCGGTTTGATACAAGGGGACTTGTAAGTTCGGAGGAAGGCAAGTGATGTAAAGATTTGAGACGATGGTGGGAGAGAAAGAAGAAAATAATTCAGGATGAGAAACGGTCTGTTTATATGCACTCAGTTTCTACACTCTCCTGCTTGCTTCCCATGGGCAACAACACGTCACAATTGCGGGCAGTCAGGCTGCGTGCGACTGTACAAAGGGCGGGAATTCCTACTTGCAGAAATGTTGGTGCAGATCAAGCATCCACTCAAGTCTTATTTGCCGGCAAAAAAATTGCTACCATGAGGGGGATCCTGTTGCAGCCTGCTTGTGTCACACAATGCGACGGGATGACCAGTGATGTCATATTATATGATCGCGACGCGTCTCGCGTGCTCACGTGGTGCGGTCGCACGTCGCGGCCAATCAGCCGTGTTTAGGCGACCTACCCTGCCATTTTCGGGATTACGTTGAGGGGGGGCTGGCAAAGTAGTCGTAATTGCAACAAACGCTTACTCTATCCTTCATCCCCACCCATATCCGTTGTCTACCGCGCTTTTTCAACCAATTGACAAACAATTACATCATGAGTTTGAAACGCAAAGCAGCCGCTGCGGCCACGGACGCGTCCAAGAAACCAAAGCAAAACGGCAGCATCACCGCCTTCTTTAGCGCGCCCAAGGCTGATCCCAACGCGCCTCCTAAGCAGACGGTAGCAGCTGCAAAGTTCGACAGAGACGCGTGGGTTGCGAAACTCACAGACGAACAGAAGGAACTACTGCAACTTGAACTCGATACGCTGCATGAGAGCTGGCTGCCGCATCTCAAGGATGTACTAGTAACACCGCAATTCCTGGAGCTGAAGAGGTTCCTGAAGAAGGAGCTGAGTAGTGGAAAGACGGTCTATCCACCGATGAAAGATGTGTATTCATGGTATGGAGCATGACTCTTGCACTACGCCCGTTTATCATGGCGACTGACACGCGTCAACAGGTCACGACATACACCTCTCAACACCGTAAAAGCCGTCGTCATAGGTCAAGACCCCTATCACGGACCAAACCAAGCCCATGGTCTCTGCTTCTCCATCCGTCCACCGAATCCCGCTCCCCCGTCGCTCCAGAACATCTATAAGTGCCTTAAGAAAGAGTACCCCGACTACCAACCTCCACCAAACAAGGGTGGTTTGCTGACTCCATGGGCTGATCGTGGTGTCTTGCTCATCAACACTTGCTTGACTGTCCGTAGAGGCGAGGCCAATTCTCATTCAGGCAAGGGCTGGGAGACTCTAATGCAAAAGGTCATTGACACTGTTGTCAAGGTGCGGACAAACGGTGTTGTGTTTTTGGCCTGGGGAACACCTGCTCAGAACAGGACAAAGGGTATCCCGGTCGACAAGCATCTCGTCTTGAAGAGCGTCCACCCGAGCCCATTGAGTGCCTCGAGGGGATTCGTAAGTACTGACATGCTACGCTGCACAGACTGAATCACTAACAAGATCCAGTTTGACTGTGGTCACTTCACCAAGTGCAATGAATGGCTCGAGCAGCGCTACGGAAAGGGCGGAGGCATTGACTGGGACCTCAATGTCGATCCTGCCGATGCAGGTGTTTGAAATACAGCATATTTGGCGATTGTCTGTCATCGACTTGTCACAGGTTCTGGACTGGCGTTGGATTCATTTGGCTTTAGTTGTGGTCACTGGTACATCTATGGTGTGAGGCATGTAAAGTTTTGACATCGGTCACCCGTATGCGAAAAGGAAAGATGCTAGAATAGCTTCTGGAAAATACACTACAATCACGTCAAGAATACCACAATTCACAAATGCCGGTATGCATGACGTCATATACCGTGTCTGAATAGCAGTTCAGCCTAATTCACACGAATGTAGATATATACGTGAATGCCATTCAACTGTCATCAACACGATACCTAGCTGCATGTCCTCCACTCCAGCATACACATCAGAACCGTAACATCCCGCCATGTCCACCCCACAACCCTTCAACATCCTAGTCTTCAGCAAAACAACCGGCTACCGCCACGACTCCATCCCCGCCGGCATAAACCTCTTCCACACGCTATCGACTCGCACAAAGTCCTTCAATGTAACCGCGACCGAAGACGCCGCCGTCTTCACGCCCACCACCCTGTCCGCCTACACCGTCATCGTGCTCCTGCAAAACATCGGTCCCGCACTCCTCACCGCAGACCAACTCTCAGCCTTTCACGACTGGGTCAGAGCAGGGGGTGGAGTAGTCGCTATCCATGGCGCGGCAGCAGGAATGCCAGAAGAGAAGTGGTATACGGATTTGATTGGGGCGAGCTTCGATATGCACCCTGAGCCTGAACCGGGGACTGTTGTGCCCGAAGAGGACGCGCAGAAACATTATATTATGAGTTGTTGTGGCGGGAGAGAAGCATGGATGGATGAGTGGTACAACTTCCATACGCACCCTCGTGAGAATAAGAATTTGAACGTTTTGCTGAGAGGGGATCCGAAGACTTTCAAAGGCGGGAAGCATGGTGATGATCATCCGTTGGTTTGGTGTCAGGAGTTTGAAGGCGGCAGGGTGTTTTTCACGGCATTGGGGCATTTTGATGATGCGTATGAGGACGAGTGGTTTGTGGGACAGGTCGAGAGGGGGCTCATGTGGGCTGCGCGGAAAGAGTAACAGGTTTGACGAAGCCAAGTCACCGCAACAAGAATAAGTAGTTAGACAGAAAATGAGTTCATGGGTGTTCTCAAAGCTTTTGTGGAGCTAGTCTGGTGTCTACTCCCGGTAACCCAAACCTTGCAGCTCCTTCTTGATCTGTGTCTCCGTGCTAATCTTCTTCACCTGAGTGTCTTCAAGCTTCTCACCTGAGGCCTGTCTCATCTTCAATTCGTCAATGGCCCGCATTTTCTTGAGCAGACCCCGAATCTTCTTGTCTTGGGGGTTGCCATCACCAGGGCTGGTAACGGTCAGGTCAGGCGGAGGGCCCTGGTTTTCTGTCTGGATAGGAGGAGGAGCCTGGGGCTGAGCCTGGGCCTGTTGGCCTACACGCTGCTGGCGCAGATTTTGTCGCGGGTTTCCCTCCTGTCTAGCCTCACGCGCTTCACGGTTCGGGCTATTGCCAAAGTTGCGTTGCTGGCTAGCACTTCGCGAATGTTGTTCATAGCCGCTCTTGCTACGACTGCGCTGGCGACGCTCTGGGCTGCGACCGTTGGCTCCATTCGGTGGGTTGGCTCCCTCGGTGCCCAAGCCCGCAGCCTTGTCAGCAGCTTCACGGGCCTTTTTCGCCTCGCGCTTCTTCTTGTTCTTCAAAGCGGCCTTGGAAAGCTCACCGTCGCCATCTTGAGCACCAGTAAGACTAACGCCACCGCCAGGGGCTGCGCCAGGTGGGAGCTCAGCAGCTTCTGCGCCAGGCACCTCGCGGCGACGCGGCTTTCCAAATCCATTGGCAAAGCCAACGTTCGTGGAGGAAACTCCTGTGTTTGTGTATGCCACACCCCCCTCATCTTCCCGTTTAAAGTGCAACGGAGTAGCTGTTCCGCGCGCGCCAGGGGGTCGGTAAGCGCCGGCAGGCTTGGACGGTGTCTTCTGAGTGCTCAAATATGCGAGTGCCGAAGGGTGAGGGGCTGGTACAGTAGTCAAGGGGTCCGTGAGCGGGAACATGGAGGTGGGCTGAGGTCGCCACACAACATGGTAGAGTTCAGCCATGTCCTCGTTATACATCAGACTACCGCTAACATGATAGATGCGGATGCCATTATCAACACGAAGACGTGGGCTAGTGGTTGCTGTAAGAATATGCTGCCCGTCTGGGCTCCACTCGCAGTATGTAGAGTTGGAAGTCTTGACATGACAAACTTTGGCAAAGTTCCTCTCGAGGTCGTAGATGTCCATATCTCCAGCTAAATTGCCAAAGCCAGCCACAATGACAAAGCGCCCGTGGGGGCTGAACAAGATAGTGTTGCGGGGGCCGAGGTCAAAGCTATGTTGGGCGACGGCGCGCTGGTTGAAGATGGTAGTCTTGGCAGGCATGTATCCGTAAGTGACACCAAACTCTTTCGAATTGGGCGACCAGGAGACGTCGTGAATGGGGCCCTCCTTGTCGAGCTGAATCCTCGAATCAAAGGTGCCGTTGGCGCTAAGAATGTACATATTGGTCTCGCCATAGTAACTCTTGTTTGTCTTGTCGACCTCGGTCTGGGCCAAAACAATGAGACTGGTGCCGAGATCGTTCCACTTCAGCTGGACCTTGTCCCCCTTGAAGAAGGTCTTCTGCGACACGGGCTGGCTGAACTGAGGTACCTGGAAGACCTTGACGGCAGCGGGCATGCCCTTGCGCTCCGGTATAAAAACGGCAACTGAATGGTTCTTGCCAGGCGAGAGAGCCATGTCGGTTACGCCCTCGACGCGGAGTTTGTTCCAGGGATTGCGCAAGTCGTTGGACTGGAAGACCTGCACTTCGTTTGTTACAACGCGTGCACAGAACTTCTCGTCGGACGTGTACTGCAGATTCCATCCATTTTGGTTCTTCTGCACGTATTCGCCAATGACGGCCCTGGATCCATCGTCCTCGGCTTCGTCAGAGAGCGTCTTCCAGACCCTGAGGTTCTTGACCGCGTTCCCATCGTCGTCCTTGGACGGACGCTGCCAGGTTATGAGATAGGTTCCTAGCGGAGAGAAGCCGAGTTCGTACACGTTCGGTGTGGGAAGGATAGTAATGATGTGGCCGGCCGAGGCATCAATGACCGAAACCCTAGCAGAGTCAGCTCGCGCACAAGTCTTTGTGGAAATTTTGGGGGCTTACTGTTCGGGTGTAGCCCAGGCAAAGTACTTGCTATCTGGCGAATAGCAGCAGCAACGAAGGTTTCCCTCTGGGCGCACGAATCCTGGGAGAGCCTCATACGCTGGAGCAGCGTTGAAGAGCCCGATGCCCTTGGCGGAGCGGTCTGGTAGTCATGTCAGCTTTGTTCAATGGCCAGTGGGCCAGGTCGTCTTACAAGCCAACTGTGTGGGAACAGCCATGATAACTAGTCAAAGTCACAGGAAGTTGTACAAAGCGGGCGTGGGGCAAGGTGCTGGTGGTCGCGAAGTCTGGCTCGAATAATGCGAGCGCCGTGTGGTGTGTTGGCGATGAAATAAGGCTAAGACAGGAACACGTCGGGTGGTGGGTATTGCTTGGAGTGTGACGTAAATTCCGACTTTCTATGCCAGGGGCAGACTTTGGGCGCACGCAGCGGCAACGGGCGGATGGGGAAGAGGGGAGGGGAACACGAGTCGAGGAATTGAAGGGTGACCGTGTGACGAGCGTAGGAGACAATCTAGGCGCAGGCGCTGTCGAGAAAGAAAACCGTGGGCAGCTGCGCTAGTGCTCGGGGAAAATGCGGGCCGCTGGTGACATCAGCCTGGCTTGTACCCACGACAAAGAGCACCCGAATGTGGTTTACACCTTGACAGCACGCACTGACATTGGCATTGACGACAGTCTTACTCCCAATCTGAACTCTAGTGCAACCAACCACTATGGCACCTGCAGAGACAAAATTGAGATTCGATCGATACATGCATGTACCTACTTTGTACCTAGCAGCTTGATCAGCCTCTAGTTGGGCTTCACATGTCATTGAAATGTACTCGCCCTCGGCAACACTGGTTTGTTCCCCCATCTATTCACTTCACTCGTAAAATCATCATCTCCAGACGTCTGCATCATCAAGGACCACCCATGCACACGCATTGGGGAATGATTCTGGGGTGAATGCTCAGATTCCATGTCTTATCGTTATCGGCAGTAGCGCCCTTTCACAGCATAGCTCCCGCCGAGGCCCCGAGCCCCATCTCCACTCTACCGTTCCGTCACGTCCGTCGCTCCTTCTATTGACGTTTGTCGGTCTCGTCTCCCTGCAGTACGCGACGCCCTACGCGTCTGACGGCAAAGATGCCGACTTCAATGCCCGCGCCCTCGATTCGCATACCCATGGAGCTCCTAACTCCAACCGCCTTTGCGCAATTCGGAACCGTCGTTGAAAACCCCACAACATCGCCCTCCGCAAAGCTACCCATACCAAACCGTGTACCTGTGCCCGATGCTGTATCCGCTAATCAGGGTTCTGCCACAAAGTACCTAGATGTCACCCACATGTCCAATCTATACAACCTCGCGCCGAGCAAGAAGCCTGCAAAGGCCGTAATGAACATGTTCGTTTGTGCGCCTCGGAACTTGCGGCCCCATGAACCGAGTATGAGCATGCCGAGTTCGTGGGGAGACTTGGACCTGGATGAGGATGAAGACGGAAACGGTGACTATCGGAGACAACTTTTGGATGTCTCTATTCTCGAGAGACATCCATTTACCACGCAAACCTTCATACCGATGGGTTTGTCGCAACAAGACAAGCATACACAGTATCTGGTCATTGTCGCACCCACACTTCCCGCAAGCGCATCCAGCCGTCACACGGGCAGGGCGCCGCCGTACCCCACACCCTACCTTGAGCGGAAGAAGAGCGTCTTGGACGTTTTTGCCCGGGCGCGACCCAGCCCCTTCACCAACGAAAAGGTGCCTACAAAAAGTCAGTTCTCGCGGCTGCATCCATCCGCAAGGCCCAAGGGACCTGGCCTGCCAGATCTCAAGAATCTCCGCGCTTTCGTTGCGACTGGAAGTCAGGCTGTGACGTATGGAGCCGGGACATGGCATGCGCCCATGATAGTCGTTGGAGACCGTCCGATTGACTTTGTCGTTGTGCAGTTCGCGAATGGAGTAAGCAATGAGGACTGCCAAGAGATACTACTGCAACCGAATAGCGCTTCGGAGGGCGTAGTAGTGACAGTTGAGACCGATTCATCAGGTACCATACAGGTCAAGGCTGGTGTTGGCTCGGTAAAGGCGAAATTGTGATGCGAATTGCTCTCATTCTTGTTTTGTGAAACACGCTGTAAGACCGAACCATGTAAATGCTCACGCATGTAGAATATTTTCTCACACCATCATCTGCCAACTGACGCAGCAAGATGTCAACTCTCATCATTTACAAAAGCCGTTACATTGCCAAGTACTTATCAATACATCAGGGAGTTTTTGTGTTAGCATTCTAAGCCTAAATGAGAACATATGGCTGCGACATTCTTCTATCTAATCAACAGCTAAGGATTATTAGTGGACCACCAGGGATATTACATGCATTATGCTGCATTATGCTGCATTTGGTATACACGTCTCGCTTGCACCCGTCTTTCGGCAGAGGAACTTTAGGCCTCCAGTGCATCTTATAACGTGTCCCTCCTTCCTGTCGCTGACATTTCTACTCTCTTTTCACCTTTCCAAGACCACAATGTCCGAAGCAGAATTGGTAGTCGTCGGCTCCGGGATTTATGGTCTTACGACTGCCCATACTTACCATCGTATACACCCATCAGCCCGTATTCTTATCCTTGACGCAGCACCTTCCATCGGAGGGCCATGGGCTCCCCATCGTACCTTTCCAGGCCTCAAAACGAACAACCTGCTAGGAATGTACGAACATCCTGATTTCCCGATGGATGAACAGACATTTGGCGTTAAGAAAGGCGAACACATACCCGCGGCTAAAATGTTCGACTACCTGACTGCGTTTGTAAAGTGGGCTGATATCGAGCAATTCTTGCGCCTACGTACTACCGTTGACGTCATTGAGAGAAACAGCCATGACAAGGAAGGTTGGACGTTACACTGCAGCTCTTTTTCATCAATCAACAACAAGGACCAAACAGTAATCAACGCTAAGAAACTCGTAATCGCGGCGGGCGTATCAAGCGCTCCTTTTATGCCTTCCTATCCTGCTTCCGAAAAGTTTCAACTCCCAGTCTTACACTCCAAAGACTTTGCAGCACACTACTCGGCTATTGTGAAACCCAACACCCACACTACGATTATCGGATCTGGGAAATCAGCCTGGGATATAGCATACGCTTGCGCTACACAGGCCTCCTCTACGGCAACGATTCTCATCCGACCGAACGGCAACGGACCGATATGGATGACACCCTCTCATGTCACACCATTTCATCTCTGGCTCGAGAAGCTCGTTCACACCCGTTTCTTTGGCTTCATGTCGCCGTGCCCTTGGGCAACTACCACGGGTTTAGAAGGCTGGATGCGAGCCTTTCTCCATCGTACCTGGCTTGGAAAAAAGATCGTGGCAGGGTTTTGGCACATACTCGGCGAAGACGCCATTTCATTGAACGGAATGGACAGTCACCCTGAGACAAAGAAACTAAGACCGTGGCGAGGAGCATTCGAAGTCGGGAACGCACTTTCTATACACAACTACCCCACCTCATTCTTTGATCTTGTCAAAGCAGGAAAGATCAAGGTTCTTATCGACGAAATTGCTAGTCTGGATGCGGAACGACAAGTACAGCTGAAGTCGGGTGACGTGTTGCAGACAGATGTTGTAGTCTGCGCAACAGGATGGCAGAAAGGTCACAAGTTTCATTTCGAACCGCCGGCCCTAGAGAGCGACTTCGGCTTACCATCTACATCTCCGCTGACTCCAGAGCAAACGGCACTCATAACATCAACTGAGGAGCGTCTTTACAAAGACTTTCCGTACCTAAAAGAAAGAGACACGAGTCGTGTCTACCACCCTGACCCTTCACTCCGCCATACACAACCACTCCCAGCGCACAACCAGCCCTACCGTCTCTATCGTTTCATGGTTCCGCCCAACCTGTACACAGAGCGTAGCGTAGCTTTTGCAGGAGCACTCATGTGCCTTGGCGGCTTTCCATGCGCTTACCTTCAATCTATATGGATTACGGCTTTTCTTGACGGGACAATGTCTGCGCCGACGGAATCTATTCGTTCCAAGATCCTGGAAGCTACGTATTGTGATACACAGTATTGTGTCCTTCGCGGCTCGATGAGCTACGGCCATATACTACCAGACATTGTCTTCGACACTCTGCCTTACTTTGATATGCTCCTCGACGATCTGAAAGATGTATCAGTCGATGTGCGGCGCAAGGGATGGGCATTGAAGGAGTGCGTGAGTAGCTACGGACCTGAGGATTATCGGGGAGTGTTAGATGCTCGGGAGGTTAGCACAAGGATGATTGAAGACTCTAAGGGGCAATATGGCGTACCACCGTAGGATCATTGTAGTGTCAATTAGTACCGGATGGCGTGATATTTCTCATCTCAACCAGCCGAATAACTCAGGCTAAGATGCGATGACGAAAGATGACGGGAAAGTGAATACGAAAAGAGTAGGTAGAGAAGATGCCGTTTATACGAGTGGGTACACTAACTGTCTCCATCTTATCATAAAGGAAGTAGCTAGACAATTGCTAAACACGCAATCGACGGCCAGGAATGGATTGAATATCGTCACCAAACCTTGCAAGTTTTCTCACTGTCACATGGTAGACATGCAACAGTCCATATACCTGGATCGATCTCGGAAAAATAATGTATTGTTTACTCCGATGGCTCAACATGCTGATAAATGTAGTATTTTATTGGAATGCGACGAATTTATACATGTTGAGCGAGAAATACAATGTGAGATAAATCGTGTACATGTAGTTGGTCAGGATTAGTCAGAAGACGATGAGACATTAACATGTAAACGAGGTTAGCCAATCGGGCTAGAGTCCGACATAGTACGTCATCAACCACAGCATCTCCGCATCCTGCCGGACTTCTGTGCCCCACAGCAGTCGCATTGCAAAGATCGAAAGCCCGGCCCCCACAATAGTTGCAAAGTTATTAGTTGCAGCTGCCCTTGAAGAAATCAAGAACGGCGAAGATAAGAACCCAGACAGCTCGAATTCTGGACAGAATGAGTTCCCGGCTCCTCGAACTTCCACGAGAGCTCCGAGATTTGATCTACGAGTTCGCACTTGTACGCGATGTTATACCTATCCAGCGCGCGGCCGCTACCTTGGACAGAATACCGGAGGAAACACGCTCCCGCTGTCCTGAGTTCTACAGACAAATCGCCCTTACATACCCATTGAGAAGGCCACGCGCCCACCGTCGCACATGGCCTATACCTCGCCTCGATCTACGCACATCCAGCTCACGGTACGATCCAAGCGATCTACCGGCTGACATCCAAATGACCTACCAACTCGAAGACGACTACGATGAACCCTGGACACACAAGTTCGAGATCCGCCTACTGCAAACTTGTCGACAAATCTACGATGAAGCTCGAGAGATCTTCTATGGCAAGAACCTTTTCAGCTTTACCGACACCGAGGCCATTCCGACTGCGTTTGCCTTTTTGTGCAACAGGCCTGCTGAATCACTCAAATTCATCTCCGCCATGGAGATCTCCTTTGACGAAGGCAGCAACATGATAGGCACTGCCAAAGCCCATTATCCCATCCAAGCCAAGTCTACAGACTCGCTCGTACTACGATACGCTTACCACTATTTCCCGGACCTTTGCACCTTGATATCTACTCCGCGCATGCAATTGCGAAGGCTAAATCTGACCATCAACAGTCTGAGTCAGCACTTCGTTAATAGCATGAATCGTCACTATATCTCGGCACCCTCTTCGATTGCGGCTAGCGTATCATGGGAGACAGAGAAGATGAGGAATTCGCGTCCGTGGGTCGCTTCATGGGTTCAGCCGTTGCTGAAAGTGAAGAATCTCGAATATCTAGAGATAAATTGGATGTTCGATCGGCCAGAGGCGTGTCGAATGGCAGACACTTTGTCGTTGATGAGACGGCACATGCTTGGAGAGAAATTCAACAGACAAACTACTCGCGCTGGCCCATCAGAGAACCCTGGATTTGAATTCACTATACATTATCGGGTTGTCATGCCAGATGAAACCCCCACTAGCTGCGAACTATCTAGGGAGGATCTACTCCAGAGCAAGAATGATCCAGACGATGAATCAAGCAAAGAGACGGGTTTGGCAGCATGGCGACGGCACATTCGAGACACACTCGACAGTTCTGGTTGCCTCTGAACTCAACTTCGCCTGTTTACACGACTTGGGCGGTGAGGCTGATACGGCCACGTGTCCTAATGAATATCAAGGCGTTTCCGCGGTCGCTTTCGCCTTGGCCGCCTTGCCGGGCGCCAAGATTTTGCTGTCCGGGAGCAAGGTTCCGCAACAACAGAATGGAATCATCCTCACGAACTCGATTCTCACAAACAATCCAAGGAGAGCGGCTTTGTAGTAAGAGTAAATAATGTGAGAATAAGAGTTAAGCTGAGTATTGATGCGTTGGCGGCTCGTCCAAGACATGACTTCATAAGTCCTGCGCTTATTGTATGACTGCCCACGGGCAACAAATGTAAGATACGGCATGTATGTACATCATATCTCATCTACTTCAAAGTTCAACAGTATGAGCAATAGTCTGCATGACGGCTCCACCGCTTCTCACTGTTTATATTCTCCATGTCAACTCCAAATTCCAAGAGCGTGCATATTTCTGTTCCATCATTTACATTTACATATGCACGGAAGCAAAATACACATTGATTAGTTATAAAGTCTCCAAACACCGCTTTTGCATTTCTATACAATACTAGGGCCATGATGTTGTCTCCCATCATCTTTGCGTATCAAACCCCATGCGCCAACATAATCCACCAAGTTCTCTGGGTTTCTCTCAACCTCAATGTCTCATGGCCTAGAAGAGTTTTATATCCTCATCTCTCTCAATGTCTCCCTTCGCCATTGTAGAACAGCTGGGTCCTTGTACACACAAATTCCCCTACAGAGCAAGCATACTTCAACAACATCTCCCACAAGAGTCCCAGTTCCACCGCATTCACCACACCTTCCTTCTACATATGCGTCATGCCTCGCATTTGCAAGATGTTCTAGCTCACTCTCCCGGCAGCCGTAGCACGTCCACTGTCTGTCACAAACACAAGCTCGCGACCTCATACCCATGTTGTTCAAAGCCATTCTTGCATAGCCCTCGCAAACCGGCACGCGCGCTCCTCTTGTCATCATGAGAGTCCGATCAAAATTTCGGTCGTGCTGCGCGTGATGCGCTACACGACACCCTTTGCACACCTCGAATGCATTGCCCTCACGTAGATGCGTCGCGCACTGCCTCAACTCCCCCCAATGAGCCCTCATTCCCGGGAGTAGGTTCTGATCACATGCGACCCCCGGATCCCTTTCTCTGACGGGTTTCTGTGCCTTAAGCTTTCCTGCGTCATCAAGGATACTGTCTTGGATTTGGCGGATGCGATGCTCTTCGTCCAGCCTCTCTTTCACCTTCGTGTCCCAGGCTTTCACAACTTCGGGATATGCGGGGGCGAGTGCGGATTTTGGCGTTGCTTTGGGCGAGGTTGGGATTACTCCGGCGATGTCAGGATGGAAACATATTGTGTAGTATGTCTTCTGCTCGCGGATGACGGCGTGGGGTATAGGGTATGCGGTTGAGGAAGATGAAAGTAGATCAATCGTAAACTGGTCCGCTAGTATGGCAGACGAAGAACAGAATGCGGACATGGACATTTGTTTGTAGTGGGGGTTGGCGTGGGTGCGACTTGGAAGGTATGTGTGGCAGCTAGTTGTTGTTGAGGCGCAGTCGTCAAATAACTCGCGTTCGAAAACACCTTCACTTCGCACCTCACTGCGCAATCTCTTTTTCTCTGCACTACTTTCTTATTTGAACATGAATTCTACGTCACCTGAAGCTGCTCGTCCTCGTCCGCTTCGCCAATGCCTCTCTAACCTCTAGTTACAGTGCGTAATTCATAGTTTACTGACCGGATTTTGTTCACAGAACAATACTTTTATCAGCATTTAATCAGTCTGGGCATCCAAACACCACATCTTATCGACCATGGACGACTCTGCGATCATGGCCGAGTCTTCGTTCATGGACGGGCATTCGTTCATGGACGGCTCTGCGATCATGGACGAGCTTGCGATCATAAACGACCATGCGATCATGGACGACCCTATGATTATCGAAGACCCTGCGATTATCGACAACCCTGCGTTCATGGACGAGCCTTCGTTCATCGCGCAAGAGATGGAGGCGAGATATAAGTACGAAAAGGGCAAAAGCAACGAAGCCGAAGAACACAACTACACCACAACCAAGGAGACGTTCGTGCGAGAAGTCGCAACATACTTCAAAGGCAAGCCTGATGTCATCTATGGTATCAAAATTGCCAGCAATCAGCATCGTGACCCCTTCGCACTCGTCGACGAAAAAAGCAGCGCGTCCAACAGAGGAAGAGCTCGCGCAGAAAGCTCTATTCCAGACACCAGCGTAGCCACTGCCAGCGACGCCAGATGCACCGCAGAAAACACATTCCGCGAAGCCCTTACCCAAACCCCTCCTGTGGACAACGATGGCCAGATCAGTTACCCCCCATCAGCCTACTGCTGCATAGTCTCCATCATGAACCCAAACAACATCGACATGAACGCAATCGGTATCTTATACGAGTTCCGCAACTACTTCTTCGTCGTCGTCCCGACGCCACCCGCAAACAACCAAGAGGTTCTTATGCCGCGCTACGGGTTCATGCCAGAGTGGGCTGTAGGTCGCTATCTCAAGGTAGAGTGGGAGATGTTGAAGAAATACAAGGTCGTGCTTGGAACTGTTGGGATTGGCGCATGCGGTGCTGATGCAGGGAAGAAGGAATGGAATGTCCACAGTGCGAAAATACAGCTTAAGCGGGCTGCGTGTCTTGAGATGGCAAAAGAGCTGGCAGTATGGTTGGCAGAGAAGGAGGAGCGCGATCTGAGCCCGGCGAAGGACAATGTGGTTAGACGCAGTCTGGAGCGTGCACTCTTTCAGAAGATGTGCAGGCTAGATGCGGAGTGGGTATGGAAGGAGCAGAATATGTTGGTGGATGCTGAGAACTTTATGCAGGATTTCATGGTGTATGAAGAGTGATGGGTGGGAAAGGTTGGAGATCTGTAGAAATACTTTTGGATACCCGTAGAAAGTCTTTGGATATATTCCAAAAAATGCACGAAGTATGAATCTAATGCTGCATTATCTAAAGAGAATATCATGATCAATGAAAATAACAAGCTCCAGAGAGGATCATCTCGGTTCCAAAGTACAGGGTTAGGCCTCCATCCTGGATGGCAACATCCAAACATCCATCTACAGAGCTAACAACAGACCGGCAACCCAAACGAAAACAACCAGCAACTTAAAGCTTCCAGGCGTAATTGTTCTTCTTTCCTTCCCCCTTTATCATCGCCCTCATCATAGCATTCTCCCAAACCGGCGGTCTCTCCTTCTCTAACTTGAAACACCGATCACGAACCTCGTTGGGTGATCTACCCTCGAGCCTGAGCACCTCTTGAATCTTATCACGATCAACGCCACTCATATACTCTCTCACAATAGCCTCGTCGTCCGCCTGACTAAATGGTGGTTTAGGTTTATGGACACGACGGAGAGCATCCATCACGTCGTCGGGGACTCGGTTGGTATCTTTGAGATAATTCCAGCGGTTCCGCACGGCATCCTTGTGAATTTCCAACTGCAAGGCGATTTGGACAAAAGAATCTTTCATGGAGCGGCCGGCGATGATGGCGGCGTCCAGGGCGGGCGTCCAGCTGTAGCCGTTCATGGCGTCGCGCTATTGGATGGCGGCGTAGCGGGTGGCGAGGGTAGTAGCAGTGCGCTGCATGATTGGTGCTATGTCCTCAAAGGACATGCCTTGGTTGACATGCAGCTTTGACAGTTGGTACTCTTCAGCTGCGTTCCAGAGTCTGTAACGGCAGGTATCCGTGGGGGCCATGGTTGATCGGGGTCTTATTTGGATCGCGATGGGTGAGTTTGCTGGTTGAGGGTTTATTGGATAGTAATGGTCTATTGCCTAAAATCTTGGGAGGTCATATCTGAAGTGGGCATTGGGTGGCAGTGATACCCTACACAGCTGTCAGGAGTGTTCCAGTTTGCGTCATGGCGGTCCATCGCTATCACCCTACAGACATTGGCGTAGAATCAGTGTATAGTGAACAAGGGTAGTAAAAAAAACCCCCCCATCTGATCATATTCTTACTCTGAACATGCACCGGGTGATTGAAAATGTCTCTGCCCCTTTCACTCGGCACAAAAGCCTCACAAGATCAGTAACATGAACACTCGCCAGGTATTGGGAATACATGAAGTAGGCAGAGAAGTCATTCCATAATATACACGTTCACTACCATTTGAAAATGCTAGCCTCATAAACTGTGAAACCATTTCCACCCTTGTCGCACCTCGCATATCTGTCACTCTGTGGAAGAACAATGTGACTTATCGCTTCTTCGCATTGACCTTGTCCTCGAGGGTGCGGACGTAGCCTTCTATCCGTTGTACTGCGGACTGAAGGGCCTACTTGTATATTAGCAAGGGAAGGCACAGCCGTGGTTTGTTGGAAGGAGCGTACGTAGATGTCTTCGGTCAAAAGCTGATTGGAAACGCGGTATTCGTCAATGACATAGTAGTACATGCCCGCGCCGGATGTCGTCGCACCGAGAAGGAACCCGAACAGTCTGTAAGGTGTTAGACAAGATGTTGACATGTTTCTGATATAGTCTTCTTCTTCCATAACGTTCCCTCAGCGAGTCTTGTGTTGGTGAAGGCTGCTGTGTTGCCTAATTCATTCTTTCTTAGACAAGAGAGAGGTCACTCACCCTCCTCTGAAAGCGCCAACAGGCTTCCTCACGGGCGCAGCAACAACCGTCTCTTGCCTCAACACAGCGCTTGTTTGAAAGCCGCGGGAAGCAGTCGCCATGTTCGCCCTCATACCGGCACGAGCCGTTGCCCTCAAGAATTGAGTCGCCATTGTGTTGCTAGACCCCTCTCAGATTCGGTCGTATCGTATTTGGAGTACGGGTCTCAGTATGCGAGAGGCGTACGTGTGGGCGTGGGGTGTGATGTCCTCGTGTGCCCGACTGTGACGTTTAGAGCTGCTCTCCGCATCTACAAACAAGCAAGCTCGACCTCGCCTGACCTGGACCCTGGTATTGTCCGATTACGTAAGCGACCCCACTACCCGTTCCATCTGGTCGTTACTATCGTTCCAAGCCTACGTTACCGAGAGAAAGACTAAAGTATAGCAGGCATTAACTGGTAATGATAGCTGTCTGTGCATACCCGCAAACGCAAGAATGTGGATGCAGAGCATTACTGACTGACATCCCGCTGCAGCTTGAGCAATCACATGCAGATTACACCACACCTGCAGGTACTACATCGTAGTGGACGAAGCATTCATGTTCACTTATAGCATCTCAAGACGTAAAGGTAAAGGTATGTTCATTGAAAAAAGGAATCATCAGCCATCTCCTCCCCCCTATGGGAAAACCTTCCGGCTAGCAGGCAGCGTCTTTGTGCAGTCGACCAAGTTGTTCAACTGATCCTTTGTCACACCCGTCAAACTCATCCTGACGTACGCCTTTGCGTAGTCCTCATTCCAGTGCTTCTGGTCACCAACGAATGACTTCCACTCATCGCTGACCTTGGGATGTACCGAAAGTACCTTGTCGCTAGGGAGTACAAAGACTTTCTGGGAAGGGGTGCCACCCGATGGGTTGTTAAGCGTGTCGTTGTAGAACTCGACGTCCCAAACACCAATGGTAGTGTCGAGAGGCTTGTCAGCGACTTCGGGAGTAGTGTCTACAAAGCGTTGGCGGGCTGTCGAATGGGCACCTAAGAGTGCGGCAAGGTCGTGGGGGGTAAAGCCCTTGCGCTCGAAGAGAGCAATGAGTTCATCTGCTGGGGAGCGAGTATCCGGGAGAAACCCTTTAGGTGCAGCCTGGGTAGCATCCTTGCGTCCAACAAATGTACGCACGCGAGGACCCTTTGGGCATGAGATACTGGCGTGGTTGTGGGCGTACTGGGCAAGGTCTGCATAGCCGACCTTGAACTTCTTCTGTACGTCACGAAGCACAAGACGCACGCTCTCGAGACCTTTGTTTTCGGGGCGCTCAATCTCTCCGAAATCCATCAACAGTGATCCATCAGCACCGCCATGTGTTTGGCCCTGCTCCCATGCACCCGCATCGTGGAAACCCATGCGGACTGCTGCACGAGCGTTGTCATTGCAAGTCAAATCCTGGTTGACAAACAACTTGGTGAGTTCATCAGAAACATCCCACCCTATAGGGTTGTTAGCGTATGGATATAGAAAGTCATCGTAACGTGAACTTACAAATACAGCACTTATCCGTGGTAAGCAGTGAACATATTAAAGGCTTGTTTGATTTTGTGTCGTCGATGGCCGATTTGGCACCAGAGAGAACGTCTTTGATAAGCTGTCCAACGCCAGAGAGAACACCAGTCAAGATGTCATCAATGATGCCTGGCACAGGTTCTCGCGTCTCTAAGGGCCCTGCCGAGGCCAGGAGGCTCAGAGCGAGGATAGGAAGTACCCGTGCAGAGTTATAAAGCATGATGAAAGTATAAAAGCTGAGAATAGGATAACGAGTGATTGACAGTTCAATGAAGCGATGCACTGCAAGATGCTGTGAGTCGATGAGGATCAAAAGCAGGCGTACGGGCTACCTTATATCCTCCCAAGGGCATACCAAAAGATGTTTTGTACGATTTCGCTAGCGTCACCAAAATCGACCAGGAAGCTTAGCAGGCAACGAACTGCTAAAGGGGTCCGAGCCGTGGCGAGCCACTTGGACTAGAGCAGTTCCCATTGCCACCCCGAAATAGTAGTCACCACTGCAGCCAAGAGTTGAGAGGACCGGTTTGAAAAGCCATCGATGCGGAGCATGAACCAACCATGTGCCTCCCATAAGTCATAGTTGTTGTGTGCAGGGCCAAGCGTGGCCGCCTAACGAAACTTGAAATAAACAGCGAAAGGCCTCCCCATGCCTTGGACAAACTGTCACTGCAAAGGCGAGAAGAACTGTAACAGATCAATCTTGGGGGTTGGCTGGAAGACAGTCAATCAGATCTCTCCATGAACATGAAATTCTCCAACCACGAATGAGCAATGCCGGCTACAACGTTGGCCGGAAAAAGTATGCTATGCGAAACAAAAACCGCATCGTAGTCATTTAGGTCTAGTACCCAACGCTTCGGGGGAGCATAAACCCACCGGAGAAACGAAACTATCGCTTTCGCATTGCGATTTGCGGTACCTGGGGTTTAGACGTGGAGAGGACCAGATGGTCTCGTGGAGCGTTAAGCTGCATGGTGGCTGGCCTAGGTCTCGTCGGACTGGTACCCGGACTCGCATCTCTACTTAGCTCCTTGGCAGATCAAAACTCCATGGCTATGGCATACCTCTCCCTGACCCTGACCCGCCACACACTGGTCGTGAAGCACGGACAAGTTTCCTATACTTCCACTGACATTCTACGTTCATGCACACCGTAAGCGCCGAGTTGCTTTTTTCTGGGGTAACCAAGAGCCGACGCAGTGCGACAGCTGAGACCCATGGATTTGACGCCCACAGTCAGCTGTCCATGGATCGAGGCTTACATTTCTCTACTGAAACTGTGCAGATCTTGTACTTCTCAAGACGATGAATGCGCATGGCGTTGACAGCTCAATGATAGACCACGCTAGTCAGGCGATACGAATAGTCCTGGGGCCGCTGTATGGAGAGCCGGCGCTACGCTGAGCATACGATTTCAGCCTCACCTGACAGTTTTTCATGCTCCGCATCTCGCCTCGGCCTTATCTTCAGTGTGCCAGTTGGTTAGCATACGCTTCTAGGCTTCTGTGCCTGTCCGTTCTCGCAGTAACTAACGTGTTCGGTACCTGCAGTAGAAGCAGTCAGCACAGCTATCGACACGATAATTGGGTGGCGTAGTCTGTGGAGTTTGGATCCACCATCACATTAACTGTAAAGCGACATCGCAAGCGATGTCAGCGCCACGGCCTAGTCAACAAGGCGTCTGTTGGCCAATATTCGCATTGTGATTACTAGTCAAACAACTGTCCCTGAAGGCGCTCATAAGGCTACAACACAACCTTTTCGCATCTTGGGATGGTCCGATGGCCGAGAGTGTGGCGGAGTGGTTCTAGCATTGAGGCCGCCGCTGTACGTAGGTGATGGCTAGTTACCATCAGTGCGAGCCATCGGTGTTTAGATGATGCGCAACGGGGGGGGAGACCCTGATTCAGATTTGAGTTGTTAGCTTGAAGGGAGCTAAAGAGCGAGGCGCAGTAAGCATCGGCGACCAATTCTTGTCCGCATGGTGGCTAGAAGTACGACATGCGCTCGCATCGCGCCCTCCTCTTTCTGGGGGCCATGTCGTCCTGATAAGACGTGCTGCAGCCAACACACCCCTCAACAGAGGTAACAGCTGGCAGAACAGTCAATACTTTAGTGCATGATTAGTTCGCATCCTCCATTCTCTTTCTGTCCATTGACCTCGAGCTCGATCAAAGTGATTCAATCACTTGTTGTGTGCAAGCAAAGCAAGTTACGATGGATGGTATTGTTTGTCTGAAGCGTTGTATGTCTGAAGATGCCATCGATCAGGGCGGAAATAATGGGGGGATAACCCCTTGGCATGCGGAATCAAATTGCCGATTGGCGGAGGAAACGAAGCTTTTCAACCTTCTCCATCCTCCTGCATCGACGCCATTGCCATTCTCATCATTTTCCATCTCGGGTCTCATCGATTGCTGGTTCTAGACCTTGTCGCCTTGATCAACGCGCAATTTGCTGGTCAGATTCATACCAAGCCATCACTCGTACCACGTCATGCACCCAGATGTCGCGCCCAGAATCGTCTGGCAACAGCCCGCCAAAACGTCGACGTACGGTTGAAGGATCATGCTGGCCCTGCAAACAAAGACGTGTAAAATGCGATCTCCAGAAGCCTTCATGTCATCGTTGCATCATCTCCAGAACAGAAGATTGCAGTTATGATAAGCTACTTTTACGATGGAAGAAGCGACCCGCAAAAACGGTACCGCTTGAATTCCAATCACAGCCCGGCGTGGACCGTTCTCTCTGCGGAATACCTCTACCAGTCAATGAGCGAAAAGCTCTCGACTACTTCAAGGCGCGGTTGTGGCCGCTTCTTTCCACGGTCAATGAGCCATGTCCACCCCCGCTTGCGCTTGCTTTCCGCTCTCAGCCGGTCCTCCAAGCATTGTGTGTATTTGCAGAAGAACACCGCGCGCTTCAAGAATCAACAACATCCAACCAAAACATCGAGAGGAGAAGACTGCATTGCTTGTCCACCATCCGCGACCAGCTGGGCGGCAAACATTCCGAACGCGCTTCGCTCTCTGCCCTCCTGGTGGCAGTATTACTGCTGTACTTTTCAGAAGGCTACGTCAAATGTACCAATGCCGATGCTTCGACCCTCTGTCATTTGGCAGGAGCATTGGCCATCATTGATGCGCTTGGAGGATTTGAGTCCGCATGGTCAACCTCCGATAGGATTACTAGGATGTTACTCTCTGAACTGGCATCTACGGATTTAACAGATGCCTTGCTCCAAGACAGAAGACCTTCTTTTCCCATCACCATCTGGGAACACATGGAGGAGAGCTCTGTCTGGTGGGACACCGTACCTGGTACCAAATCGCTTACCTCGGTCTTTTGCACCCTAGCTGAAATGAGCTTCTACAGACATGGACAACAGAATGGAGCCGAAGCTTGTGTCGAAAAAGTCAAGTCGTTCGAACGAGCGCTCGAACCGACTTACCCTATGATGGACTACACGACTGGAAGTTACTCTGGAGATGCAGGGAAAGAGCTATTTGACCCTGGGGTAACCGCATCATTATCCTTAGTTCGTGCTTTCCAACATGCTGGCCTCATATATCTCTACAGCGCCATTTACAACATGCCGACTAAACATGTTCTTGTGCAACAGCATGTCCACGCCTGCTTAGAGTGCATACGAAGCATGGGTGCCAGATCGAAGGCTCAAAACTGTTCGCTTTTTCCGTTATATGTGGCTGGCGCACATTCGATCGTGGATGAACACCGGATGTATGTTTTGGAGGCGCTCGAGATCATTCACAACAACTTGCGATTCGAGTCGGTTCCGTCTATTCGGAAAAACCTGGAGATGTTGTGGCTACCTTCTCGTAACCCTACAACTTGGACCGAAAATTTCAAAGATGCTGCTGTTTGTACATTAGTGATATAGTGGGATTGTCAGTGTTTCCTTTATGTAAAAAACGAAGTGAACCTTTGACTTATTGTCTCTTTTCGAAACCGCGGAGCAACTAATTATAGTTCCATACTCCTATGAAAATTTGTGTTTCAACCGATCCAATGTACATTCAATTATGTGTCTATGATTTACCAAATGTTGCAGAACTACAGACCCAGCTCCTTCTAGTCTTCCATAGCCTCATTCTTCGCCCTGATGCCTGTGACAACATTCCCGTCGCTTCTCCGTCCTCTCTATTCGCATATTCTGACACGTCCACCGTCTCTATGACGTTTCCGTCAATACTGAAGTCGACTCGGCCAACGCGCTCAACACCAAAATACATGGTTTTTACGTTCTTGCCATTATGTACTGATTGTAGTTTCTTCTTCATGAGAAAAGCCAGCCATTCCATCATTTCTCTCGTCTGCGCAGCTTCAATTCGATAGAGAGCGTCGCGTTGAGAGTAGTTTCGATCTGCGATCTTGCGAGCTGGTACAATGTCTTCTCCCAAAGTGCCATGATCTTCCGTATAGGTGTTCGCATTGATGCAAAGTCTGCGTGCGGAAATAGGATATTTGAAATCCTTGTCTGTGATGGCATACTCGCTCCATTCGCGGTATCCTGCAGCATCTGAGTGCATGCGCGTAGCGCCGACAGCAAAACATTGTCATTACAGTGAAGAGCTGAACCTCCCAGAGGTCGGAGGAGATGCTCGCATTTCCGACCGGTGTGCTGAATTTGGGTCCCGAGGGTGGAACATCGGTCGGCCAGTTGGCTACCATTGCGATGACCTCTTCGGTGCAACACGGAGCCAGGTTTACTTTCACTATTTCTAGCATGACAGAGGGTAGGCCGTTCCTCGTGGGGATGTAGCGCCATGTTGGGAAGAAGTAGACTGCATTGACAATTGCGATGTCGAATTCGCATAGACGAGGCGATTTTGAGATGTATAGAGCCGTCTGCGCACTCAATGCTTTCGAAGAGAGGAGTAGGGCGA